TATATATATATATACATACAACATGTGTAAAGTAACAATTGTATACACTATGTTCGGAATAAAATGATGATAAAGAAAGCATTTTAATTCATTTTCTCTTTAGCGACAAAAAGCTATAATGTATTTCATTTTGGATAGGTAACATCAAACAAAAAAATTTGATCTCTGATAACGGATTGATAGTATTGTTCAGTCGTTTGTGTTTGAGTTTTATTACCATCCTTTTATTCTTCTTTCGAATGCTGCACGACAGCTTCATTGAAGAATCAATACAAGTCTTACAGTTACAAGAGATACGTGTGTTAACGAAAGAAAATCAATCCGCGCATTTTATTTTCGAAAATAAGGAATTTACGTTGCGAGTTTGTCGTGCTATAGAATACAAAACGACTGCATAATGCACATAAGGTAACCTTCGAACTCGAACGGGATAAGCAGTGGTATCATGCTCAATGAAACTTTATTGCTGTCGCATCGAGATAATCCCTCTTGTCGATGGTAAATTTCAACCGTCTTAGTTTAAAATCTCTCGTAACGCTCAATTCGATCCAAAGTGTCAATTTTATTCAAACAAATTTTATTTAGACAAAATTATTATACATACTTAATATGTAATGAGTAAAATGTACAGAATATAGAAATTTTATCTTCTATCTGTCTTGCCGGTTCCCCTTTTTCCGGAGAACAAGTGCTTCGGCATCTTATTGCCGATGAAACGATCAGCTTCGCCTTTGAGACCTTTTTTAGCCACCTTCTTCTTCAGTGCTTTGTGTGCTATATTTTTCAATTTCTTCTTCATCTGAAACAAACGCGAACATGAATAATATCACATTTGTATTTATTGCACAAATAAATGAAATAAGGAACAAAAGCTTTTTGTATAAATTAAGAAATAATAAAAATAAATGTTTCAGTTCAATAATAATCCATCCACTCTAAGCGTAACTTTTTCAAATTTAAAATTAATTCTCTGCAAAGTCTACACTGAAGTCGTCAATGTTACAATTGTCTTTCCATCAACTTACCACTGTATTTTTTACACCCATTTCATCTCGTGGTGGTCTCGAGACACTACGGGCGCGAGATTGTGATAATGATTCCACACGCATACGTTTTTTAGCGGGTTCGGAGCGGGATCTGGATCGTGTTCTTGTTCGTTTGTAGTGCGCCTAAATTATAATTAATGTAATATTTACTTATTATTATTTACAAAATTAGCATAAAAACATTTCTAGCGTCAAGAACTGTTTTGATCATAGATATGCTTAAAAAGACAATAAATTTTACTCTATTACCAGACTCATTATTTAGATGATAGATTTAGGTCAAAAAATTTTGAAATATTTTTATTATATACTCTGTTTTTAAAATAATATATATCTAATATGAAAGGTTGATTAGCTATGAATTTTAATTTCGAGATCATTTTAATTTATATCTCATATGTAATACTTACATTTTCGGTAGCTTCCATATCCACACCCAGGTCTTCCATCTGTTCCTTCAACTTTGTGACTGATCGATCGCGTAACTTGGCCGCGGCTGTACGTGGCATAACCGGCTTTGTGGAAGCTTTTGTTATTCGTGCCTCATCCTTCATGATGGTCTTCTTGTCACGAATTTGTTTCGCAAGCTGTTCGATCTCGCGCATTGTCTCCGATAACTCGGGCATCTTGTAATCGTACATACCAGCCTCTTCTCTCAATTGCTCTTCCTTTTCCAGTTCAGTCAATTTCTGAAAAAACAACAAAAGGTACACGATAAAGAAATATGTTTTGTCAGGATATAATCTTTTACAATTTAATAGAGTTTGCACTAACGTTGAATATATCTGGGTCTATGTAATCAGCTACATTATGACCTTCCCAAATTTCGGGTATGCAGTCATATTTCTGCTCACTCTCAATATCATAGTGCTTCTTCAAATCAAGCACATAATCATCTCCCATTTCTTCCTCTATTTGTCTCTCTAACTTCCAACTTCTTTCACATTTTTGTTCTAGTATTTCCGTGTTCATCTTTGTTCTTTTTTTTGCAGCCAATAATTTCTTGTTCCGCACACTTTCCGGTATACATGGAACACGATTTGGATCAACATATTGTGGTTGAGCAATGTGCAACCGATTAAGAAGACCTTCCACCTATAAATATAATAAATTGTATTATGACTGTATAAAATTTTACAACACTGGAAAATTTTCAGACAAATTACTTTTTTTGTTTTTATTTTGTTATCTATTCGGAAAGCTAAAAGTCGCTCGCAAACCGCCTCTTTTATTTCCATCACGCCAAAATCAGTGAGCGTACTCATTTCATATTTAGGTAGATTATTATTTTTCAGCATATCTCTTTTGTGTGGAGGTAACTCTTCCATACGTAGGATATCTGCTTTGTTCATTACTAGTAACAAAGGCTTGTTCACAAACAAAGGCTTTATGGATTCAAGTAACTTCATCTACAAAAACAAAATGGTTTTTATAATGTTAAGTTGCAACTCATATTATGCATTGCAACTTACTTGTTCCATCAGAGTAAAATTACATTGCTCTGATAAGTCAAAGAAATAAAGTACAGCAGCTTGCAAATGAGCGAGAGCCGTTATCGCCTGCATTTCTATAACATTTCTCTGTTCCAATGGCTGATCTAATAATCCAGGTGTGTCAATCACTTGAAATCTCAAATATTTATAATCAGTATGCCCAACATACAAGGATTTTGTTGTGAATGCATACGGTTGAACATCTACATCAGCTCGAGTAATCTGTAAATTAATTAATTGATAAAAGTGTATTAAATAATTATATCAAATTTTACTTTTATAAGAAACATGTAAATCACAATTGTTGTACAACTTACTTTGTTCATAAAACTGCTCTTGCCAACATTCGGAAACCCACAAAGAATTATCGTACGTGTGTAAGGATCTATACTTGGTAATCGAGCCAGATGTTGGCGAACTTGTTCAAGATATGTTAAATTGGCCCCTTGCCTTTTTATAATAGTAGCCATTCGGCCTAAAGCAGCTTTCTTCAACTGTTTACAACGATATAAAGAATCTCCATATTTTAACAAACGGACGTAGTCTTTTGCTACACTATAATTATAAAATAACAATGATAATAGTAATAAGTAATAGAGGTACGTTTATATTTTATATAAATTACTTACGTGTCAATCAAATGCCTAGCGGTATTTAGCTGTCCAAGAGCTAACTTAAAGTGATCTCTATCATACAAAACATTTATTAAATCTGCATAAAATGGATGAACGTCATCCAGTTTAGGAAAATCTTGTATTATATGGGACAATCTATCATGAAAATTCTGCTGCGTGAATTTGATTTTTCGCATGTAAAACGCACGTATTCTCGCTATTTTATACTGTTTGTGAATAACTGTAGGTGTCTTGCGTTGTGTCTTCGATAAAATTATATCGATAAAATCCTGAGTAAAAGAAGCAAAATTTTGTATTATTACTAGTTTTATAAAAAAATAGAAAAAATAAGACATAAATGAAATCAACATATCTAACCTTTGCTGTTGGAATAACAGCAATTTTCTTGAAGTTATAATTGAAAGACATTTTGAAATTGATATTAGAAACACGTTTTTTATTTTACTTTTTTAATTATTGTTTCTTTGGAAACACAGTATTTTTATTATCCTTTCCAGAAAACCACGTGTTCTAAACCTTACTTGATCTGTACCATAACCTGCTTCTCACCGCTTCTGCTGCTTCACACATTGTTCACACCACTTCATATTGAAAGACGGCAACGAATTCATCCGATAGACGGCGCCAGCTGACGGCGGCCAGAGTATCGAGCAGCGCCTCGATAATATCGATTCTGCGCGGCGCGCTCCCGCCCCATATTTTTAAGAATAATCATGTACCCATTCTGCTTTTCTTGAATGTTCTTACGAGGCGACCTGTTAGAGAAATGGATATCTGAAATCACTCTCTAACGTCGGGTCGAAAGCGTAAGTCGAATAAGAGAAAATCAATTAGAGAGACAGTCGTGAGTTCGTCGAGAATTAGAACTTATAGAATTTGGTGAAGTCGTACTTTGGAAAATTACTTATAACATCTTTCTGTGAATTAAATGTTAAGTATTCAATCTAGAAGCAGTGTCGATTCATTTCTTACATAAACTGTCGTTTCTGACAATCTAACAACTTTTGCCGGAATTATTTCATAAATATAATAAATAAGGTCAGAGATAGGACGTAACCGTCCTATCATTCAAAAATAGTCGTTGCCGAACATTAACTTTATTCATCATTTAATTTAAAAATACAGACAATCTCGGAATTATCTTACAATACATAGGACGAATGGAAGCTCTGCCACATATGCGGAACACCAATCAGTGTAGCCAGAGATTATAAAAGTCTGGTATTTGGTTCGCAACGCTCACTGCATTTATAAAACTAAATTCCATTGCAACATCCACTTTGAGAGTGGCAAAACATTATTTGATTAAACTACATTCAAAATTTATAAATTAGGAATACATTGCGTGATTTAATTATATATTTTGTTATGTATGCATTATCCTTTGCTATTGTAACATTAAAATTAATATTTAATATGTCGAAAAAATGCAGAATGCAATATCGGCATATTCTCATAACTACTATTTATTAATGCGTTTGTATAAATTAAAATAAGTTTTAATTTTTAATAAAATTAATCAATTTTTAAATAATTTTAATTTAATAAATTTTATAAATGAATTAGCATATATGTTTTTATAAAGCATAATAGTATAAATAGGCAAGAAGACCAACGCTGAGTGTTCGTGCATAGTTTTATTATGTTTATTTGATTTTAACTCATTATTGGTCGTAATTTTTGACATTTATCAGTGTTACTGTTATTATTTGATATATAAACGGTTTATAATATTATAATTTATTTTAAACAATCGTATTTTCTATATAAATTAGAAATAATTATGTGTGATAGACAATAAATAAAATCTTTCGTAGTACATGTTTCCGTGGTGTAGTGGTTATCACATCCGCCTAACACGCGGAAGGTCCCCGGTTCGATCCCGGGCGGAAACATTTTTTTTCTTGTCTAAGGATTATTTTAAATTACTGTCAAAATTTCTTTAATTTTAAGTAAGAACTAAATACTATTAAAATATTAAATTTTGTTAATAACAATGATAAAACATGTAAAGTTCTTAATAATAAAAATATTTTTATATTTAATTAAGTCCTTTTTTCATTATAAATTAGTAAATCTATTTATTGTATCATTATAAGTATAGATATTATATAAAATAGGAATATTAAAATTTTTAATATTCTAAGCAACTAAATACAAAATTAAATTATATACTGAGAATTGCTAATACGTATCTCTATTCAATAGTAAAATGTAGGTTTATGCAGATGTACAGTCTGTCAAACAAGAGCGTCGGCTAGATTATTTTAAGAAAAAATTTGCTAGAGGGCTCCACTATTATGGTATTCGTTAAGGAAGGGGGAAGACTACTACGCTTTATTATAAAAACGCCAGTATTATTTTCCATTGTGATAAGAATACGTGATTTATAAAATGAGTGCGTCGTATGTTAAACGTTTTGAGGCAGTGTTCTTGTGTACTCACAGTAAAGGACCTAAAATGACTTATAAAGCTGCTGCAAAATATATGCATAAGTCAGAAGACTTTGTACGGAAGTGGGTAATACGATACAAAGAATTAAAAAATGTTGACGATTTGCCCGAGAGAGGAAAAACGCGAGGGACGTCAAAAAAAGAAGATAAAGTCATTTTAGAATTATTTCAGCAAAATCCTCTGTTGACATTGCGACAAGGACAAAAGTTATTGGCCAAAAAGAAAGTAAACATAAGTATAATGACTCTAAAAAACCGATTACATGAGACGAACATCTCTTGGCGTAGCACGATACTGAAACCTTTCCTCAAACCAGAGCATGTCGAAAAGCGACGTTTATGGGCTACGCAAAATTTAAATCGTGATTGGACCAATATAATTTTTACTGACGAAGCGTCTTTTTACACATGGGTTCCTGCCAAACACGCATGGTCTTTTCCGGGAAAATCGCCTTTACAGCGCACTGTTAAACATCCAATTAAGGTTCACGTTTGGGGATGCTTCAGTTTCTACGGTTTTGGTTCTTTACACTTATTTACTTATAATCTAAATGCTGAAAAGATGCTCGAAATCTATCGGCGAGCATTATTAAAGTCTGCTGAGAAATGGTTTGGATCAGATAATGAATCGTGGATACTACAAGAGGATAATGATCTGAAACATCGCAGTAGGTTGTGTACTGCATGGAAAGCCGAAAATGGTATTCAGACTTTGGATTGGCCTGCGCAGTCGCCTGATGCGAATCCAATTGAAAATGTGTGGGCCATTATTAAGAAAAAGCTTCAAGGAAAGCGTGTGTTCACGTTAAAACAATTGTGTCGCCATATCCGAATTATTTGGCGGTCATTACCCCAACAATATGCAGAAAATCTTACAAAAAGTATGCCAAGACGATGCCAGCGAATTCTCGATAATAATGGAGACTGGACGACTTACTAAGTAAATGCGTAATAGTGTTTTTAGTACACTTTAAATTAATCTATCAATTTTTGAAAAATAATAATTTTTCTTTCATATATGCAGACGACGCTCTTGTTTGACAGACTGTATATTTAATGCAAAAGAAGTAATTTAAATGTATACTGTGGCTTTAATTTCATGTTGGAGTTATGTATAAGGATGCTATATGTAATTCAAAATATCCATTACTGTCAAACTACATTGTTTTTTAACAAAATCAAGATATTTTTGTATAGATATATATCGATAATTGTGACGGTTTTATGTATGATATTTAAGTACTGTATCGAAAAAAAATGTGCGAATTTTATATTTTATATATATAAATATATTAAATTACAAAATATATAAAGCATCGGTAGTCGATGTATGCAGTTAAAATCTGGTTATGTTTAAACAAAATTCATATTTTAAGAACAAAGTCCTGGAAAAATATAATTAACAAAATATTACAAAAATTTTTATTTTTTATATAACAATAACATTTAAAATTTACCAGCAGATATACAGTAAATTATCAGTCAAATATTATTAACTTATAGAATTTTTAATATTAATCTAATATTTAATCCAAATAATGATTAAGTGTATAGTAGATTACAAGTAGAGACATTATATTTGGATTAAATATTCGACAGTAATACTTAAATAGTATTTATTTAATATGACATCAAAACAATATTTGGACATAACTCTGTTATTTCATACTTTCTTAAATTATTTCGTAATATTTACATTAATTTTTGTACGTGGGAGCACTTATATCAATTCTTTCCTTGATCAGATTGTATTAATGTTATCTATAATTGTTCGATCGTCGTATTAATAACAAAGGAGATCAAGGAGAAAATGGAGCATTCCTCAGTTGTATTCGCAAAGATGTCCACAGCCCGCTGGACATTGCCGATTGCCATTAAACCATTCTCTCATATGATTTATATGGCCTCCGTGTGCACAACCTTGACACCACACATAGATACCGCGCACCACCTGTAAAAATCACAACAAAATAATCGTGTAACAATTGTACTCTCTTCCTAACATTATTTCATTGTATCAATTCTAATGAATTATTGCAATTAATTATAATAAATTTATAATCTATCAAATAGACAAACACTTTTATACTATTGTAAAACATTTTGAAATACAATGAAATCAGCACGTTCAACCAGCTGCTACCTCTTTCAATATAATTGTGTCAAGCTGGGAGAAACTCAAAACTGTGATATTTCTTACCTGATTACAAACGGAACAGAGAGCGTGCTCGGATGTATGACAATGGTCGCACAACCATGCTGATCGTTGCAAAGGTTTCGTGCACGTCGCACAACACAAGTGTATCAGAGTCGATTGCTGATTTAATTGCGATATAGATGGAATCCATGCCAATTGTATTATCTACGAACATATTCAAATCTATCAGTTTGTTATTTAAGTGTGAAAATTACTGTCGAAAGATATGCCGGATATTGTAATCATGGAAATAACAGAATTTTAACTGTTTTTCAATATGAAAAATATTATCTGCTAAAAAGCAATATTGTGTTATTTCTATTTATGAACAGACCTGTGTAGCTACATGCCAGAGCTTAAATTTGCCAAGCATGTCCAAATACTCCAATATCCAATGTTCTTGTAAAGCTATTGGAATTTTCAAGTTTTTCCTCTTTTCTCCCAAAACAATGAGCATTGATACTGTGGTTTGCAGATCTCTCAACGCGACATGATAGTCCAACGCTTTTAAAATCATAGGAGTAAAATCGAAGGCTAGCGGCTTCGACAGATGCGGTACTACGAGCTGAGGCTGATCTTCGACTATAACAGAAGTTGCATCCTCGCCGAGTTCAGGTGGATGATTGGGAAATTGTTCCGGCGGCGGTGACCGATCCTTTATTTCATGTCGTAAGGGGAAGGCTTCCTTCTGCAATTCCTTAGTCCATTCGTCATCCTCCATACGCATCACAATTTGCCTGTTTTCGCCGGGATGTTCCAAAGACACGGGTTCGTATTCAGTTTCGCCGAAAATAAAGTCACCTCTCGATGTCGAAGGTATGTCACTGAGTAACGGTCTCCTGCAATTACATTAATCCAAGTTACTTAATGTTGACACATGATAGAATTTTTAAATACATGACGATATCAAAATGCAACAATACCTCGGTAGTACAGTTGTCGAGTTAGTGGATGGTCCTATATTTTGATTCTCCGGTGCTTCGGTTTCTGTTTCAGTCTCATCATCGCCGCCGCTGGTAGCGCCAGCTAAATTTTCTCCTTGAAGAGACTTGACATCGTGTTCATGACCTGAGAAAAATAATTATTTATATAGCTGAACGTGAAAGACTATGGCACACAATGTTATTATATCGTTCATATAACATTTCTGCTTACTTGATTGTTTGCTCGCGTTCGACTGTTCCATACCAGGATTCTTTGTTCCACCTTGTGCTGTGTTTGACGTATTAGCTATGTCTTCTTTGGGTGCCGTTGGTGAAATTTTTAGTAATAAATCAAGGGGGTCTGCGTGCATAATTTTTAAAACTTGCCATGTTGTACCAATCTGTAATTAATATAAAATTAACTGTTATTCAATACATTTCGCTTATTGTTATATAAATATATTGAAAAATAAAACATATATATATTATTACACTTTCTTTGCCAAAGCTGATGGCAACACGCGCATTGTGATCACAGATTTCATTTAAATTTCCAGAAAGCAAATAACTTTCTGCAGCTATTTTAAACCAAAGTGGCTGACGTACATTCAACGAGAATCTATGCATTACACTTGAAGCCATACAAAAGGCATCGTCATTTGTTACAGGTGTTCTCCTGTAAAAGAGTATATATGTAACAATCATTCATTACTTTTGTGAATCTATTTTATCATCGTGAAATTATTTTTCGTATTCACCTCATTAAATTAGACAGTCTTGCAGTAATTGTCGGTTCATATTTTACCTTGCAAGCGCATGTCACATCACCTCTTAAATCTAACGCAACGCTTTGTGGATTTGCTTTGCTGGCTGGCCTTACCGCGTCGTCGAACACATGATGATACAAGGTGCAATCCTATAATAGTGAAAACATGAAGATGAGAAATGTAATATGTTAGAGTTGTGATAAAAACTGGATAATGATTAATAATATTACTCTGCTAGTTGATAAAAACGACTGTGGATTGCCTCTCCATGCAACACCCGTGGGGACGTCTTTGTGCTCATTGAAACTGGCAAATGGAATATACGGTCTGCGAATGTCCCATACATTTATACTACAATCAACTACTAAGGCGCAACTGGCTATGTGATATTTTTTCTGTGGCCTCCATTTTATGCGTCCCACTGATGCTATAGTGTGTATAGTGTAATCACAACTCGGTTTACCCGATAGATCCCAAACCTGAAATTCGAGGAGTGTAAATATGCAATTGTAATTATATTTGATAAAAGTGCGATATAAAATAAGGTATGTACTTTAATAGTTTTGTCTCTAGAAGCTGTAGCAAGCCAAGTAGCTTCGGGATGCCAGTCGCAAGCAAATATGGGACCGCTGTGTGCGGTAAAATGTTGAAAGTATCGATCTGGCTTCCTCATATCCCACTGTTGTACATGACCATTTTCAGACACTGCAGCAAAAGTATGTGGCTGTTGTGGACAGAATTGAACATCTCTTACAGATTCTGTATTACTAGAAACAAACATATAATTTTACGATAAAATTCTCTTTAAATTATACACATAATGCACTTATAAAAACAAACCTTAAAATGTCAAAAAAGAATTTCATTTTCTTTAACAGATATATAAACCATTGTGCAATAATACAAATTCACATACAGCTAGCTTTACCTATAAAAAGTTTTAATAGCTTCCTTCACTCTTAAATCAAAACATTTCATTGTACCATCTTGTGACCCAGATATCAACCACATGGGTTCTGTCATGTGAAAACTGACTTTATTTACAGTTCTTTTGTGATCCATAAATACATATTCCTGTTTTGATCGAGTAGGCCTATTTAAATTCCATAGAACAACAGCACCATTTGTTGCTGCAGTTGCTAATATGTGATCTATAAATTAATGTAATAGTAAACACAAGACAATCTAATAAAGTATATTATTAGAATTCATTAATGTAGAAACATAATGCTATACTTGAAATTATCTAAACTAAATATGTGGATAAAGATTTAGAATTATTATATTATGATATTATGTGATGATTTATTAGATTACCATCATTATGATTCCAGGCAACATCATTGCAGGAAAAATTGAGATTCAAATTCTTTCCTACTCGAAGATTGCAGACTTCCTCAAATCTATCGTCCAGCAATGTAAAGATCTTAAAAACTGCAATATAATATTATTGTGATATATTTTTTTCATATAAAATATAATAACATAAAAAGATGAATTCTTTTTTCTATCATAACTTTGTTGCTATAAAATTAGAGAATATTAAATTGTGATTTTCTGTATTAAATTACAGCTGTATTATAATTGAATAATAAAATTATAATAAATAATTATGATTATCAAGATCACTGCATGTTTTCTATATCTATTTATCCTTAAAATTATTTGTTGATATTAATATATTACTATCTGAACAAACGCACCGTTGCGGCCGGCTATTACAATTTGGCTATTATCTTTGTTAAGGGCTAAGGCATTCGCAGACCCATCTTGAGCAATGCATATCGTTTTTGAAGTCATATCGTATTTTTTTCACGTGTCGACGCGTAAACTATTTTATCATACTAATTTGTAATAAGTTGTAAACACATGTAACTTGAAGCACACATGCGCGTCACAGTACGATGCAGTAGCTCGATGATTGGTGTATACTTCTGGATCATTTGTGTCTACTGAATATGATGTTTGATGTTTATGAAGCACAATATCTACAAATTATAGTTTTCTCTCATCTTCTCTTCCTCTTCTAGACATTTGTGCCTTCGGCGATCCAACTCAGCAGGTCTCAACGGTCATACGCGAGTAAAATAATGCAGTTTGTAAACCGGCCGTGAGATTTCGCCATCGCTCGCTAGCTCGGCTGGCCCGTCTAATTTGACAACATGGTAGTGACGGTGGCCCCGGGAATGTTGATGTGAGACGTCTCCGCCGACGTATCGACGCCTTACGCGACGACAAATGGACGATGATCCGCGCGAAATATGTCTGCTAATTCCGAGTGCGACGAGCGCCAGCGGTAGCTTGAAACGAACGAATGATACTTGCGATAATCGCGAATAATCGACATCGCACTGTGCATAGGAAGAGTCCCGCGGGGATTATCACTGCGTCACGGATAATGTTATTGATTGATTTTTTAATGACTTACGCGTCGACGAGTAAACGAGAATCCTACGGCGACGCTACGAGGAATAATATTATCGCTCCATTAATGAGGTACGCGTTCCTGCTGCTGAGCTTCCTTGTAATTCTGCAGTTGACACCGTCGGCCGTCGTCGCGAGCGACTCCTTGGGGGATCCGTACAAGATATTAGGGGTGTCGAAACATGCGACCGTACAGGATATCCGAAAGGCATACAAGCACCTCGTCAAGGAATGGCAAGTGACATGCTCCTATTTTTTATTTAAGAGCTATATATAATGCTACGTACAAACTACATCTTTTCTAAAGACTTCAATACCAAACTCTGTATATTCTTCTCAGGCATCCGGATAAAACTGATCATCCCATGGCTGAAGATAAATTTGTAGAAATAACAAAAGCCTATGAGGTACGTTTAGTCTTATCGGAAATAATGTTCAAGGTAAAAAGCAGTAATACCGTAAGAATACCGTTGTTGTCGTGTCGATTGTTTAGCTTTTAACGGATCCGGAGAGAAGAAAAAAGTATGATAATCATGGGATCACAGAGGAAAGTATACCTAGACAAAGAAGGGACAATAGTCATTACAATGTTCTTGATCCATTGGAAGAGTTATTTGGCAGCAATTTTAAGTTCCACTATCAGAGTAGAGACATCACCCTGTTTCATAAAATGAGCATCACATACCGGTACGTATTTCCCGCACATAATAACGATTTATCATCATTTGTGGAACATTGTATTGAACAATTTTTAAATTGCAGAGCGTTCGAAAATGTGATAGTACCCAAAACTTACCGTATGCCGTATTTAATTTTATTTTACTCCGATTGGTGCTTCTCGTGTCTGCAAGTGGAGCCTACTTGGAGACGATTGATCGAAGAGTTAGAACCTCTGGGATTCGGCTTGGCCACGGCGCACGCCAAGAAAGAACCTACCTTGGCGAGAAGACTTGGCATTCATTCGCTTCCATGTCTCGTTGTTACGATAGACGGACGTACTAGTATCTACAAGGAAAATCTGTTTAGCATTCAAAAAGTTGTTGGTAAGATTACTGAAACATCATATGCTCTATCTGCACCGTCTCCGTTTTATAAAGTTTTAGAATGTGGACTAATAAGTGTTTACTTTGCAGAATTTGTACGAAATAAGCTACCGTATAAATTGATAAGTACCATTACTAATACAAATGTAGAAAATTTTCTGTCGGGATGGACGGATAATCGAATTCGCGCTTTGATATTTGAGAAGAGAGACTTTATCCGTTTGCGGTATCTGCTTACGTCTTTTTACTATAGAGATCGGGTAGCCTTCGGCTTCGTTCAGGTAAATATTTTACAATGTCACATTGCCTCGATTCACTTCTCAATCGTAATTTTTCATACTCTCTGCAGATTGGTATACCTGAAAGCGAGAACATAACATCAAAATACAAAATCTCAGGAGAATTAGATACTTTATTGCTATTCAACGAAAACTCTGAGAAACCTATGGCGTCTGTTAGCATGAAGGATATTTCCAGCGAAACCATGCACAACGTTATCGCTAACAATAAGTTCCTCGTATTGCCAAGACTTTCGAACCAAGCCATGCTGGACTCCATATGCCCGCCCGAATGGTTGAGGCCGCAAAAGCGCCTGTGCGCCGTTTTAATATCGCAACAAAATAGTCCTCTGCATGATGTGGCTAGGCACAAATTTAGACAAGCAGCATTAGAGTCATCTTATAGGTAGCGTCTACAATTAAACAAAATATTCACATCTCAATAATCCTTCATTTAATATAGTTTAGTAAGCTCGTTTTGCGTCTATATATAACTCGCTGACGATATTGTTCACACAGCACGGAACGCGTTCGGTACGCGTACGTATTCAAAGATACGCAGCCAGAATTTGTATCGGCGCTGTCAGCCGGTGAAGGCAGTCCGATGGAGCCTTTATTACATATCGTCATCATCTGGAGACGAGACGCCAATCATCTGAAGTACGAATGGCTTCCTCACCGATGGGTCGAGGCCGTTCAGGACGATCGTATATGGAATGAAACGCGTAGGCATTTAGAGAAAACCATACAGAAGCTGTTGCGCGCCACTGAAGCTTTACCATATGCTGCTGTCGTAGGGGAACTAGCGGATGAACACGCACAGGTATATATCTCCTCATAATAATCCTCATATATTCTTTTTCACTCGCAAATTGGTAGCACATCGTCGATCATTTATATCCTATGTTTTCTTCTCAGGGTACTGTAGACAGACTGATAGGACGAGCATTATTAGCAGTAGATTACATATCCGATAATCTGACAAAAGAGCAAATTTTACCTTTGATATCGGTACTAGCGACTCTCGTGCTAATCGGAGCTGCAGGGTATGGCATGTCATACCTAGTGTGAGTAGAATTTAACTGTGGAATAACGTAGTATACTTCTTCAATCTTATTTCAGCATCGCAGAACATTAACCCGTTTCAGGAGCAAGTGCTAATATCAGTAGAACGTCGAATGCCAATATATATAATAAACGATCATTAGTTTTTCAAAGCATGTATATTAATCATATACATAAAATTGATTTATGAAAATAACTGCGTAATTTGTTGTACATGTAAATTTATGCATTCTATTTTGGATATCCAGCAAGCTAGAAGAGGCTAGTGTCCAGACTGAACGTGTCCAGTGCAAGGACAATGCCAAGTCACTTCCGTCGCAGCCGCAACTACGATTGCACGAATTGCGCGCGGAGAAATACAATGGATTAGTTCGGCTTTTAAAGCCGGGATGCCGAACTATCATTCTGCTGGTTGACGCTCAAAGTCGATTAAAGTTATTGCCAGCCTTTCATAAAGCTGTGTGGCCTTATAGGTATGCTTTGTCAAATTTAATTGTATTTCCTGTCGCCAGTATCTTCATTTCCCAATAATATATCCTTGGATATCAATAACTATGTGACAAACTGAAATAAATTAAAATTGTCATCGTACATGTTCATTTTCAGAAAGAATAAGACGCTTATGTTCGCACATATGTCACTGGAAAAAGGTCTCGATTGGTACAAGAAACTGTTGTCTCTCACATTACCCGAGCAGAAGGAACTAAATATAAACGCCAAGAACTGCGTGGGCACGGTCCTGTCTTTGAATGGACATCGAAAGTATTTCTGCATGTATCACGCCAAACATCCGGAGTGTACTAAGGGTAAAGGTTCTAAGGTGTGTAATACTAAATTAAGCTTGAAACAATAGCTACATCTGATATAATCTGTAATATCTATATCATACTGTGCACAGCGTATCGAGAAGATGACCAAGCAACTAGCCCAAAAATCGGAAGACCCGGAAGCAGGCGCTTTCATCGGTTTCGACAGTTCCAACGAATCCGATTTGTCTCAAGACGAGGTACAATACGATACGATATGATTGAAAATTTCTCTCATTTTCAGCAATTTTCATCGACAACAATTGAACGTGTGTGCATTTCTTGCAGGGTGGAAACAACATTTTATATCAGGATAATCTTTTAGATGGATTACCGATGTGGCTCGACAGACTGTTCGAGGGCTTAACGCACCGTTATTATATAAATTACTGGCCCGAGTTTACAGTCAAGTAAAAAGAGAAGGAGGGAATATGATTTCTTTTAGGGGAGACTATGCTGCATAGATATATTATATATATATCATGCTTGATGTGGGATGATTGCCAAGTTAGCTTATCAGATTGTGCGACAAAAAAATACCATATCCGACATCTTGAGATAGAAATCAAAGAGCAGAAGCTGTTTTGACTGACAAGTTTCGAAGCGAGATGCGACGAGGATATCCAAAATTGACGAACAATCAACTTTCGTCGTTATTTGATAAAGATATTTCCAATTTGCCAAGTAGTCCGCAATGAAGAAATTTTGATGAGAAAACAAGAGGTAACATCCACTGTTTCTGAGAATAACCAATACGTAAATTTAAAAATAGTTTTGAAACGACGATATCTGAAATTAAGAGAAGAAAGAAATGATCAAAAATTTTCTAAAAATCAAGAAATGTGTATCAAGAAAAGCCTTTAGATGCTATAGTCTCCCCTTGCACTCTCGGCAAAAGTGATAAAGAACAAGGTTTGCCTAGTCAGCAGAATATTACCATTGAGTTATACTGTGATTCGAGTGGACACAGACGTGATTCTGTATAGATGACAAAACATATTCATTACCTACTAAGTACCATTTATAAATCTATTTACAGTTTCCTGCATTTTAACGTTTTTAGATTGGTCTTTAAGTATTGTTAAAGAGAAAGTATATGCTATAAAGTTATGTAGCAGAGAAAGAGAGAGAGAGAGAGAGAGAAAGAAAGAAAAAAAAGAGAGAGAAAGAAGAGGGAAAGAGATTACCACCAAGATAGAACGAATCGATCCTCTGGCATAGATCAACGTTTTCTGTATACTACTTCGTCCGTTCCTATAAATCGGAATGCTCTTTCTATTCCTCGAAATTGCTTGTAACTATCTAGTCAACGTTATTGAAAACTTAGCAGTATTTATATTGCACAGTACAAGTGGATAGATCGTTTATATTTCTGCAGATAGGACTACCGAAATCGCGGTCGTTTAATCGCGCTCGTAACGAGATTCGAGTACGTTAAATCGATGGTTAAACGAGATATCGTTAATTAAGTGGCGATAATGCGATCGCTAATTTTAATGTCACGAGAAAAGGAAAAGTACATTTAGATATATAAACAGGTGATGTGTTTATATACCTAAAGATGCGTATCTCTGTCGCTTGTTCACTCCATTAATCAATATATCGCCTTTGTACTGAACGTTTCCGAAATCCGAATATCAATAGCACGTATACGTAACTTACGAGATTTATACTTTATCGATATAGTTACCGTAAAATCGATATCTGTAAGATCGACACATATACGTTAGTGTGGTAAAGGTGTTGCACTTGTAAAAAGAGATAAATGCCCTTATCAAGATTTATATACGTCCATTACTTTACTTCCAATCGCTTTACTTTTGTAACACAATCTCATTAGTTGCGTAATATATTATTTCAACGACACGTTTATCCGGCCGACTCGCTCACAGATATTCACCCTCCTCTCGTGTGTAACTTTTTTCTCTTTTACTTTTCTTTTAAGCGACAGATATAGGTACCTCGTATTACTTGTATAAGATATATCCCTATTACGAGAGAGGCTACTAGAAAGTATTAAACATGTATTATAGAGACATGAGATATATCGTAATGCTGTTAAAACTGCAAGTTATGTGCGCCAGCTCAATTGTTTATACTTTATATCCTTATATGATGATTAAAATTGACGAAACGAACACACATGGAGTTAACATTTCTACCCCGAAGGTCATTACACTCACATTTTTTAAGTAGGTAGCCGGTAGTAATCGTTAAGCATGCATATTTGTAAGTATCAATTTTGCGGTAACTATAAAACGCTTCAACTTGTTGCTCGTTTTCGTTCAAACGTTAAGCGATATGTAGCAGTCTTTCGAATTACTTTTACGAGATGCGTAATACGCTACTTATGTGTTCCGCAGATATTTCGATTGCGTATAAAAGAATTAATATATTTAGGAATGTTGATTGATAAGTGTAGAGTTTACCGCACGTTTTCCACACACAAGACGCGCGTGCGTCTTGCGATCGCAAGATCCTCTGGAAGGAGCGAAATGGGATTGCGTACTCGTTATATATCACATTCATACTTTATTTCATCAAGGAACTTTGCTTCTGCTGCAATTCCGGAAATACTTCGTACATTAATACTTCAAATATATCCTGTAAAAGAGAAATCAGAGTAAAGAAAGGGAGCGAAGCTCGCACGCACGATATAGCAGCAATGGGGATGAGATCGACTCACATAAAATAGTTGTTTGTTCAGATTCACGTTCTGCAGGGAGTCGAAAACTTTAGTCGCGCCGCGTTGGGCGCTTTGCGCACCCACTAGATTCGTCAATACTTCAGGTACATTATTGAGAAATTGCCTGCGCGCCTCGCCACGCGTCTTCAACTTCTCCTCGTCGGTGCGAAGAACGGTCTCGGACACGAGCTGCCCGTTCGGCCACCACGACTTCGTAAACAGCTGTATGTAGTAATGAAGCATCGGCTCGGAAAACACCCACGCAACGGTATCTCTGATTTGTCTGCGAATCGATGATGTATCAATACACAATTCGAGAGATATCTCTATTGCTTTATATAAGGCAAAATATTAAAGTTACCTATTTATAAAATATTTATAAAAAATAAAGTACTTAAAGTATCTAAAGTCTTGTCAGAGTTTTATTTTTTCGCTTATCTAACGCGTACAAAGTGAATAAATATGTATTCTTACCTATTTATGGTGCGTCCGTAAGTAAGTTGCACGAAGGTAATGAGAGATCGTCTGAGCCAACGAAACACTCCCCTCAAGTCGAAAACTTCTCCTAGAAGCGTGTACAACGGCTCGGCAATCGCGTCCTTGCTGGCATTTAGATAGGTCTCCGTGCTACCCGTACGACCCGTCTCGCTGTCATCCAGCAACAACGAATAATCCTCTTCCTCTTCTTTGTCACGTAGCTCGTTACCAACAGATCTGTCGTACAAGTTTACAAAATTAACGAATAAATTGATTGCCATGCGGCGAATTTAATGACGCATACGTTTTGAATAATGTGGACAAAGAAAAGCGAGATTTCTTAGGAGACGGTATTACGACTTTTAGGTGTTCCGAGCTTGGACTGAGAAAAGCATACAGTGCTTCGCTTTGATTAAGCCTCTCGTCCTCCAAAACAAACTGCGAAAATTCATGAACGGTGAATAATATTATACAATGATATGCAAGAGTTTGAACTTGCACTAAGAAGCTGCGAAACGTACATTTAAATACTTTTGTATCTGCATCTTAGCCTTGTCGAGCGTATTTTTATCGGATTTCCCGAAAAACTTGAGAGGCTGCGAGGGTAAGTCCAGGTTTTTAACGTTGGAACACAACTGACGTAGCTTTCTGTGGAGATCCTGAAAGTCCTGCAGTTTCCTGAACACCACCCAACCGCTGGATATGCTTTCGTCATTGTCTTCATCCTCTGCCATGTGGACGACCAGCACGAATTGCGGATGATCGCCATTGTCAGGCATCTGCTCGACAAAATCGGAAAATCCGATCGTGTAAATTTACGCAAACGAAAATTCGTACACGTATTGAGTTACCTCCGCGCCTTGCACGTCGGCTCGCCAGCGACCCAGATGCTCGGCCCACATTTCCGTATGATTCAAATGCGCCTCCAGTTGCCGTTTTTCACCCTGCAGGCATTCGACCTCCTTCGCCAATATACTCAGTACCTTGCTCTCGGGCTTGAGGGAGGATTTCAGCGCCTGTAGAGCTTGCATTTTATTATTCAACTTTTCCTGCAGTTGATCCAGTTTGCTACGAGCGTAATTCGAGCGTTCGCCCACTAGCAAAGTCGAAGAATCCGACAATGCGCCGTCGACGATCCCGCGATCTTCGGCCAAACCTGATGTGCAAAGAAAAAAATTCATATATAAAAATACATCACTTATGATAAAAATAATTTTCTATTCTGTTTAATCGCATCAGCACTAAAGTGTACAAATGTTTTTAATAAAAATCAAATTCCTTAGATTTAGTACAATACTGACCCTCTGCTCTCTCATTGAGCAACGCTTCCTGCATATTCATGTACTGCTTGCTAACAAGAAATGGTGGATAATATTTCTCTTGAAGCGTCTTAACGACGCCATCTTGAACCTCGTAAAATACATTAGGCCCCGTATCACCCAACAAAAACGCCTCCATTCGCTTCCGCACGTTCTTATCCACCTTAATCTCGGCGGTGGGTGATCTGATGTAAGTATAAAAGATTTCGGCTCCCAATTGATGCCAATTGGATCGTTCAGCGGCGCGCAACTCCTGCACCGCCGCCCAATAGCCGAGCAATCCTTGACTAGAGACCTGCTCTAGAAACTCGGACAAGTGTCGTCGACCGGTCACGTTATCCAGAATCGCTTGCAGCGGAAGTATCCTGCTTTCCGTAATCTCCGCAGCGTCGCTAATTTCCGTATCCTGAAAAATATCATCATGAAGCATAGTAATCGCGACACTGCAATTTGTGCAAGAGACATTCTATGCAACCTGACGAGGATATCCGTCCCATCCCAATGTCTGCATGTGACACTCGCACGTGTTCTTAGCGTACGTCAGTTGGCTGATGTATCTCTTTAATTTTCTCGCCCGAATGGCATCTGAGTTGCCGAGCGCGTTGTTCTCGGGATCCAAACCTTGAGCTCGCTTAACGTTTTGTATTGTGGTAGCTTGCATGATCTCGGTCATGATATTATATCTGATATGTTTAAGAACTTCCAAATCCCTCGTGCCTTTGATCATGCGGATAAAATCCTCGAAGGATTCTGCGTATTCGTATGTTTTTCTGTGCATCGCCTCGGCGAGTTGTTGCTGATCAATGTACGCCAAGATCTTTTGATTGATGTAATCGGGATCCGTGATTAAATCTATTGCCGGTTTTAGAACTAAAATAAGAAAAAGATAAATATAAGAGATTATAAAAAATACAGAAAAAAATTAATATATCGATCAAGCTATTGATTCATCATGCACTTACTTCTGCATGTGAGAATTTCCCTCAAAAGAAACTTTATTGGGGAAAGAGAATAACTGCGTGGTAACAAAAACAAGATAAAAAGTTCACTGATTTTCCTCAAATATTCCGATTCAGCAACAGGTGACATTAAATGCGCAGATAGAATAAATACAGGATCTTCCCCTTCGGATCTAAATGCAAAAAAACCAATAAATTTATTCATTCCTAATTTCTTACGTGCACTGACAGAAAGAGCGACTTACGAAGCTGCTTGGGCTATCCTGATTTTTTCAAAGTGGAAGGTGAGCTTATTCACTATATTGCAAACAACTAATTTCGTGTGATCAACACGCGACAAGCGATCATGGAGGCTCTTTATGGCACCCCACACATCCTGCTTCATATTATCTATCAGCTGTTCCGAGCTGAATGCTAGATCATTCAACCAGAAACCGACAAAGTCCTGAAAGACTAGATCCAAGAGATTCTGCAGAGCGCCGTCCACCAGACGAGTGAAGACAGGATAACGCATGTGCTTTGTAGAGGTGACCGATTTAGACTCATATCCTTTCTGAAAGATCAGGAATAGATGATGACAGTATCGCATTGATGTGTCAATGTATGTATCAGTGATAAAAGCCACATACCATCAACATGTTACGGAAGGCGTCCATCTCTGCAACGGTTCTCACAGTACCAGAGCCAGTCTGGTGCTTGGGTGACAGAGCTATGTTAATTAGTATCATGATTAACGGGCCGATAAGCAAACAGGAGCAAGTGAGAACGATGTAAAGACAACAACATTGGAGGCAAGTCCAGTCCATAATAATTCCCAAACTCATAACAGCTAACGACATAACACAAACGACAACAGGGAAAACCATGATTCTCTTTGGTGGAACGACGACGCGACGACACTTATAATAGCAGATGTATACTCGCAATAATGTTCTTTAATCGCGTCGTGTTGATAATACAAACAATACTCGGTGCCATTTTTAAATGCCGGTGGCTCAGTATTTCACTTTGCGTTTGCACGACGAGTGGCGACGTCACTGCCATCTTGCGAGAAAACGAAATAATAGAATGCACTTTTTTTTTCATCAGAGAGTAAAGAATAAACTGTAAATTGCTTCATCGCGGTACGTCGGGTTGCCGTAAAAAAAGAGCTAAACATTTTTTTATCAATGTTATACTTAATTATTTTATCAATTATGATATTAATAGTAACAAAAGAAATATTTAATAATTATTATATTAATAATAACTAATTTTTTATTCAATTTACCAATAATTTTGTACCGGTATATATGGACACATAAAAATAATTAATTATTTTTTATCACTCGCACACCATTCGATTTCCATAAGTCCTTCACAGATAGCGCTGTGCAGATAAATAAAGAAGAGGAGTAAAAAAAGCAACATGAAAAGCAGGTTTTCATGATATTTATGCGCATATGTTGCTTAATCCAAAATTCATACAGCTGCAGTCGAATAGAAGCAGATCAATGCCACAGGAAGATAATGCTCAAGGAAACCTCGTTCCCTAATTATTTTTTCTGGCGAGGACAGAAGAGTTGACGAAATCGACCTTGTATCACGTATGTACAACGGCCTAGTTGTCATGCCCACTTTCACGATTACGCGCTGAAAATAAAATCGCGGCAAAGCATTCGAATCGATGTAAGCATTAAAATCACGGTCTAATTCAAGTTTAATGCCACATGCGATAAGTGTCATTCATTGACATAGACAATGATAAAAGATTCTTTATCGAATTGGGTATTTCAAGTGTAAAAAGAATGGTATAAAATTTTTAAGCGATACTGCAAGTCTTATCTATTATATTATGCACATTCTAATCTCTGTGATTTGTAATTATTACGATATTCTTGTACTATTTTTACACATTATTATATTGCATTGTTTTATCTATTTATTAGATCGTTTTATAAGTTTTGTCGTTTTTTTTATCAAAAGTTTGACATGAAATTACAGAGAAGCATTATGAGTGTTTAATCATCAATGTATTCTCTCTCATTTTCTATCATCTCTTCTTATTTAGAAACTAACTTTTCTATCCCTAACTTATAAAAACTTCTTAAAATTTAAAATTTTTTCTCAAAATCTCGAAAACCATCTTTCGCATGTTTTTACATCTAGGGTTTGCGAATAAACCAAATTAATGTTTTTAATTGCTACTCTTGCTTTATTTTGTTACAAAATTCATATAAAATGTCACAAATGTTCTTGATTTGGGCTTTTGGTTGCCATTCTTTAATCACTCTGTCAATCTTGAAATGTGCACCAATTAAAAATTAAATATTAATAAATAAAATAAACAACGTAGTTTTGACAGGTAGGGAGCAATATTTTATTGAAAATCGGTAATGAAAAAACGACAGGACTTATGAAATAATCTAATAGTTTTAAATTTGTCGATATTTAATTTTTTAGGCCCATGAAATGATAATCCATAACTTCTATCACACAGCTTTACTTTATAAAAAATTAAAATAAAGTCGATGGAAGCAAATATCATAAAACTGCAGTTTAATCAATATAAATGTAATATAAAATTATTGCAAATTGAAAAGCATCTCGAGCCATAAAATTATTGATTCTTGCATGTTTAATCTCACCATTTCTTGATTTATTCTAGAGTCCTGAACTGCTATTTGCGCTCAAAAGAATGCGTTTTTTTCAAAAAGCCACAGCTTCTCCGCTCAGCATCATAAAGAATTTCTGCAAGGCATTGAAGATATTCTTTACTCAGTACTTCATAATCACTTCAACACTTCAATCGGCACTTTCCCTTCTCCATTCTCCAGTAATGGTTGGATTCCTCAAGGGTCGAGAATACGAGGATGCATGGAGTGAACAGGCGTCGTGGCGTTATCATGTACCCACGCACATTTTCTACGCGTCGCGGTGTTGATACGTATAAAATGTCGATGAGCGAGATTTTCGGCTCTCTGTTACGCGCCGGCCGTCGCGATGCCGTGGACGACAACACGTCAACGATGTCGGGTCTTTGTCGCGATAATCGCTCTGAACTGTTGCTTCTGGCTGGCAAAAGCGTTTGGCAAGACCGATGACAATCCGGACATTTTACTCTTAACGGTAAGTCATTTTCATAACTTTCCATCTTGCGAATAAAATTGTTATGACATAGTAATCATTAGCTAGATAAATTGCGCTATTATAATGCATGGAATCTTGGACGTCAGTTAAAAGCAGCTTGCACAATATGTGTGAACTTACTCTCTCCTTCTATCTCGGCAATTATTATTTCTTGACAATAAATCTCTTCGAGAAAATAAAATAATCCCTAAAATAACAAAATATCTACAGTGTGAATAACGTTTAAGCAATGTCTTTTAAAATATCTTTTATAAAATTCACACAATTTTTATTTTTAATTTTATTTTAATTAAAATTAATTTTATGTATGTCTGATTTGTGTGAATTCTCTTAGCTTGATTACATTCATTACTTAGCTTTATTACATTCATAATTTGCATACCTTTATAATAAATATTTATATAACATTCTGATGCAAATATTAATCGTGTTTATTGTTATTGATCGATTAAAAGAATACAGTACTTATTCAACTGCAATGCAATAAATAATGTATTCATCAAACAGCCCGAATTAGTGAGAAGATACGGATATCCTTTGGATATTCACGATATCATCACGGAAGATGGCTACACCTTGCAATTGCATCGAATACCGTACGGCCGTAATAAAAATAAAAAAGCGCAATCGGAGACAAGATCGCCAATACTTTTGGTGCATGGTCTGGTAGGCAGTTCCGCCGATTGGGTCCTTACGGGCCCTGAAAAATCATTAGGTTCGTTAGCGTTATCATATCAGTGCATAAATATTGTTAGTTAATTTGAACGAGATAACATAATGAAATACTATTTCTAGCATACATTTTAGCCGATGCGGGCTATGACGTGTGGCTAGGAAATAACAGAGGTAACATTTACTCGAGAAACCATACCTCGCTGTCGCCAACAGATCGAGCTTTCTGGGATTTCAGGTAAATTTGAAACATTGACTGTAATCTTCTCATGCGCTGTCATGCGATAGATAAAAAAAAATGTTCATCATAGAACTCTCTCTCGTTGCATTATCCATATCCATTTGCATATGACCTCGGTCTTCTTTCCAGTATAGTTTTTAAAAAATTTAAACTAAAAACTCATACAATTAAATTCACACAGATAAGATAAATGCATGTAAAAGCATTAAAAGTTATGTCTCTAAATATCTGTTTTTAATATAAGCTTAAAATTACAGAGAATTGAGAAAATTATTGTAAAGAAACTTCGTGCGTGTTTCAGTTATCACGAGTTCGGCATCTACGATCTTCCTGCGATGGTCGATCACGTTTTACACACGACGGGACACGATAAAATCTTCTATGGCGGTCATTCAGAAGGCACTACGCAATTCTGGGTAATGACATCGGAGAAGCCTGAATACAATTCGAAGATCGCTTTGATGATAGGCCTTGCACCTGCGGCTTTTATGGGCAACATTCGCGGACCGATAAGGAAACTCGCCAAGTTAACGTATCTCGGCGTAGTAAGTTCAATTGTCGTGCAATCACGGTCCTTCTTTAGAAAAAAAAAAGAAAATAACTAAGTTAGGTCTCAACAGAGTTGAGTTTTCGATCGGCGCAGCATTAAAAGAATATATTTTGTGATAAGAGATAAAACGGATTAAAGTAAGTCGCCAATCTACGTTTTATGGTTTGATATTAAATTTCCCGATATTCAAGGGATTAGACATTCGGATAAATTCGAAGCCGATTGAATTTTCGACGATAATCGCTTCTGTTTCTCTTCGCAGTGGGTTGGCGAGACTTTCGGTTATCCGGAACTTCGTTCTCGATCCACCTGGGGGAAATTCGTATTGAGTCTATTCTGTCAGAATATGGTGAACGCACAATTCTTCTGCAGCAATCTGTTGTTTCTGGTTGCGGGAATTAATCGTGAAGAATTAAATACGGTGAGAATGACGTGTGCTCATCGATTTCCATTTCTTATTTTGCGGCATTTGACTATTAATAGACTTTCTTTGCGCGAATAGAAGGATTTGACAGTTATCTTAACCCATTTACCCGCTGGAGCTTCCTGGAAACAAGTAGTGCATTATGGTCAAGGATATATTGATCCAGGTGACGTGTATAATAATTATTGCAGGAACATCTAAAAAATAAAATTATTTCTCCGTTCCAAACAATACATATTGCGAAAATAATATATGATTCTGAATAATGTTCTAAAGAAGTTTTAAAAATACTTCAGGACAATTCAGACAGTTCAACTACGGCGAGGACAAGAATCTCCGGATGTACAATTCGACGATACCACCTGCTTACCAATTAGAAAGAATCACAACGCCGATCGCTCTCTTCAGCAGCGATAACGATTGGCTGGCAACTACAAAGGTATTTATACGGTTGGAATATATTATTTCTGCAGATATATCAATTGTACACGCATGATATTTTCAAACTTATGTGATTGAAGTAAAATAAATTTCACTTTATTAAATCTTTCATCGTAAATAAATTCTTGTTTTAGGATGTGGAACTCTTGTCCGCGAGGCTCAACAATGTCGTGTTTCATCACAACGTTCCCATAAGCATTCCTTTTAATCACTATGATTTTTTGTGGGGAAAGTCCTCTTGGCAGCAGGTATTCGAACCTATCCTGCGACTGCTTACTCAATATCAATAGCGGCATCTTTCCTAGATTATGAGGAAAAGGGTGAGAAAGAATACAATAAAAATGTGTAATGAATCGGTCTAATTTATTGTTGTTACTATTAGTATCATTGTATAGTACGTTGCGTTTACATATATAGTCTGCACTCGTCTAACTTCACTTCCGCCGCACTGCGTCGCGGATTCTATCCGCGTCTTCAACGCGAAGCGTGACATCGCTAGTCTCCCGATTATTAATACCCCCGTCTTTCTCGCTCTATGTACATTTATACAAACTCTCTAGCATAAATCAACCTGCGATCGCCGCGTAAGAAACTACATTCGCGATCGTAATTCCGCGCGGTCGCATCTCGTGCGGTGCCGCCGGTATAATTATAAACTTATACTTTTTTTTTTCTTTCTCTGTAATCGCACTTGAGCAGCGTCCGGGAAAAAGATACTTTATCTTCGCTTTGAATACTGTCCTGGTGAAGTACAGTACGCCTATTCTGGAAGAAACAGACACTTCGCCTCTCGCGGCTGATGCTTTAAACGATTGATCTTGAGTTGCTTCGCGTAACATCGTTTACTTTACCGTAATTGTAATTATATATAGCCTATGCTAACTTACAGTTGTAATTGTTTATTCATATCTTATTATGATAAATTACCCATGCGGGAGTATGAATGGAGTCAGCTGGCGAGTTTCAGGATCGGGTGCAACTTCGAAGCAATATTTTAGATAAATTGAAAATATTTTTGCAATTAATGATATCCTATTCTTCGTTAATTCATTAGAAACGATAATAACAGACGAATGCAATTTTTCACACTTAATCAAAAGCGTGATTTAAAATTTCTTTTACTTCGAAATTTCATATCTGTTTAGATTGGAGGTAAAAATGAAAGCAAATCGATCGCACTTTGCTCGCCGAACTGACCGTATATAATGTACATAATTGTATATCGCATGATATGTATTAGTTTATGTTAGAATAAGTCGGATGGAAATTGTCGGGAAGGCTTCCCGAGCGCGATTTATATGAAACTTTTCCGTCTTCGATAGCGGTGAAGCTTTATCATAATTGAATACAAACAGAATTTCACCGTATCGTTACGCCTGTATTCACGTTTGCGGATGAAAAATTGCGCACAAACCATAATTGATACTTGAGCTCACGTGTTGGCCACTCGAGGTTTGAAAACGATTTCTATTTTCGCAAGAAGAGAAGAAACACCCTGATTATAATTTAGCGTCTACAAAGTTCAACGATACGCAGTGTCTCGGGGAACGAATTTTGACAACGTTAATATAACTATAAAATGTATCGATAATAGAATAACTGTCATAAGTATTTATCATTCGGTAATACAATATAGTCTCAAGTATTGTAACAATCGTAATTGAATACTTTTATTTTAACGATTAATTTAAGATAATATCACGATAGAGAATAACGCTATGCGCACTAATGAATGTAGTAGACTTAAGACTAATGTACCTCTTCCACCACACCACGCGATCGAGTGATAGTGATATATCCTTAAAAAGATGTAGATTATGGTCATTCCAAATAAAAAAAAAAAAAAAAACTCTAAACATCTTTTTTACATTGAGCATTTTCTATCGTGTGAGCATCTTCTACTTTGCTAGCTGATCTTTCTAACTAACAGTTCGTTCCAAACGTGTAACGAAAATTCATAAATCATAAATGTCTATCAATTGATGTAAATTCATGTAAAAGATATTGTATTAAAATAAGGAAAGTGGGATTTTGCGGGGATGTAGTTTCTTTGACAACAAAAATGATGGGGGGGATACAGCTTGTTCGTGTGCCGAGAAATGAATGTAACGGAGTCGCGTTTGTGGTGGAGCGAGAGGTGACTGATTAATTCCTTTGCACGTAGGGATTGTTTTATTTGTAACATTTTAAAGGAACAGAATCACACATTTTCGTGCATTCACGGAGATAAACGCGGCTACTCGCGCGAGTAATCCGCCGTTTCGCATAACGTATATAAGATGCATTTCGAGAAGCAATATAATTTCCAATATAGTTTCGGAGAACGCAAGAGACAAGCCTTATAAAAATACTATCCAACGGCAATATATATGTGTAATAACGTATCGATACAATTTCAAATACATGCAATTACGCAGTAAGTAATTCTGAGGCCATCGTTAATATGTCATAGTAACATACGCGTGGCAATTTGTCGTCACGGACGAAGGAAGGCACCCGCGCAACCTCATTAATTCCGCGAAACAGGACGCATTTAATTAATCCGCCGGCTCTCTTGAGTAACTTTCTTCTTGACCTCTCAGTGAAGACAAAGTGCGCCTCATTTATATCTCATTTAGATCAAGTAACAAATCCTAAAGTATAAGCGTCCCTTCTGTTTTTTGATATCTTGTACTCTATATAACAATTAAATGCAACCACTTGTCAAATTTATCTATAAATATTATATATATATAAAGTTTTATATATAATTAATAGTCATCTTACTCTCCATATCATTCCGTCAACGTTTGAAATAAAAACAGTCTCAATATATCGCCAATTTACAAGTGGAAACAATATATATTAGAATATTGATTTCTCTTTTACAATTTTTCTTTTTTTTTTTTCAATTAATCAATATGCGCATACAAGATGTTCAATAAATATAGAACATTGTATTGCCGATCAATGCAAGAGTGTGAATTAATTAATTCAGAGCATTGTATGTATGTAAGGAAAGTAAAAAAACAAAAAAAAATACGAGCGTGGAAGATTTATTGGAAAGAAGGCAAATATGTAATGAAATACGGTCAACGTAAGTTTCATATAATTATATGATAGACTAACCGAGCATTAAGAGTGATGTGTGTGTGTGTGTGTGTTTTGTGTCTGAAATTAATTATTGTACTATAATGTCACTATCGACCTTTATAGTTAATTAATATATTACAGATACCTACAGTTCCGATATATTTCTTCTTAAACTTCTGTTATATAGTCCGGCGCACGTGTATCGCGCCGCCGAACATCTTTTGACACTATGTACATGCATAAATATATTATATACACGTTGAGTACACATAGCGGGATGTCCCAAGAGAATAACCAGTCGTCACTTTTGCGCTTTGTTGCATAACGAAGGAAAAAAAAAAGATGTATAAAATCAAATCGGATAGGGAATTTGGGATCTGTGAGTCGCGTCGAGTCGAGAAGATAAAAGCGAGTCACGTGTCTACGGTCATTATCTTAGAATCCCGATGTGCATATTCAAATCCGGCATTCAGGTTGACAAACGTCAGACGAGAACGTAAGTAAGAGCTATGGATCTCAATTCCTGGTCGATACATATGTGAAAATTAAATTATGCGGAAAAAAATGTTTGTGTGTCTATCAATCTGACGTTGATCAATAATACATTCTTGGAATTGTCAATAATACATTGTCAGTCGCGAAACTGACTGCATATCTCTTTCTCTCTCTCTCTCTCTCTCTCTCTCTCTCTCTCTCTCTCTCTCTCTCTCTCTCACGCGCGTGATCTGTAAAAAATCACACATACCGGAAAGTACGAAGATGATTGACTCTCTTACGCGCTATTTCCCTAGATATATACTTCATACAATATCTGCTCGCGTGGAGCTAATAATTTCCTCCCGTACTTTCGGAACGTATTTGGGATATCAGAGGCTCTCGAATATGAGACAACTGAAAATTCACGTGATATATTGACAACACGTCGCGCCAAATTATAAATGAAGTTTCAACACAAATGCGCCGGACACGTTGTTGCGGAATACGTATCTCTTAGTTCGTTTCGGAATTCGAGACCCTCGGATATCGAGGTATAAATAGCTATGTAACATTTCTCCTTTTTGTAAATGCGTCATACGACAGAAGCGTACGAATGGGTAATTCAAAAAACGGTGGAAATTTAAGCAATGTAAGTCTCGACCTGCCGTACCCGTTGAAATACAGCTGAAACTCGTCTTAGTCTTTAAAAAAAAATATATATATATATATAAAGCATGGAAATGTATTCCGTCGCAATTTTGCATCGCTGTGCCGCACGCTAAAACTTGTAAACGGAGCACGGTGTAACGCGCGATTAATCGAGCGCAAGAGACGTTATCGATTTCAATCTACGCGCTTTTTCCAAACGTTTCCATCCGTTAATCCGACACTATCGATCGCGAAAACTCTGAAAATTGCGCGTGCTCCGCTCGCGAAGAGACAATATATTCGCCGGAAGGTATATAGACTTTAACGGTACTCGAGCGTCTGCCCTAAATAATAAATTCAATCGCGGTATACGGTGCCGAAAGTCAACAGTATGCGATTGTATATAGTGTAGCATACTGCTCAATGCTCGGCACGCTAAGGGTCTCTTTTATCTAGAATACTTTTACAGTTGTCCATTATCTAGACTCGTCCCTATAAAAAAATAGCGGATCGACAGCATCTGCTGCGTAGTTTATACAAAATAACAGCAGCCTTTGCAGCAATATAAGTTTGCAGCGAACAACACGTATTCCATTCATTCGCTATGTTACAGTAGGAAAAGTTCATGTGCGAAGTATTCTACGCGTACCGCAACATTCTCGTGGAAAAGGAGACAACGGCGAAAATAAGTACGATTCGTACGGACAAAGTAAAGACGGGGGAAAGCAAGTTTCAAAAAAAAAAAAGTAACACGTAAGCTCTGCGAGATGCATCGTTCGTTACGCACGAATTACTATTTAAGGTGTTGAATGTTGGCACCATATTCTCTCTAACGTACAATTCTCTTTTTTTTTTTTTTTCTAACGCACAAGTCACATGATACTTTCTCTTTATACACGATTGCTGCGTTCATGCTGAGCGGGGATATTGTAAATATCGATTATTGTTCTCAAGATAGTGCGTGCATGTCAGAACCAAGTCATTTGCACGTATACTTTTTAGCGCTCGAGAGAACCCAGAAAAAACTACGAGATTTAATTACAATCTCTCCTTTTACGTGATATAATTTGGTATATCCTTCGTCTCGTTACTTCCTTGTGTATGTATTACTCCTACGTTAAATACGTTTCATATTTATATGTTTCGTAACTCCACGCCGATCTTCGCGGATTATCAATTGTTGCTATCCGCGAATTCCCTCTCTTTCTTTCTTGACGTTTTCAACAGCAGTCGTCATCAATCACCGAAACAGAAACTATGCGTAATAACTCTAATACATGGTACTACAGTGTACTCGTCTATGTGTAATTCCATTCTGAGGCTTCAATTCTGATTCAATTCAATTGACGGCATTTTGTCGAACGTAAAACATTTCATCGCCCCATTTCTCTCGTTTATTAAGATATATTTAATTTAGTTAAAATGTTTCACGGCGCTTTTTAGCGACATCTCTACGTTTAATACCTGCAACTTGTAATACGCTTCGAAATTAGCGATTATTTTAGAATAAAGTTAGAGCGGATGCTTCACATTGCACGTCTTATTTATTAAAGTTTATAAATATTCAAGGAATACTGTGCACAATGATCTCTATGTGACTTTAACGACAAGAAGGTAAACTAGTCTTCGGTACTCCAACTGCTTGTTCGCTTGCTCGATACATTTTGAAAAACTATAAAAATTGTACTAACCACTAGAAAAACGGTATGCCCTCTCACGCTTCGGACGAGAAGTACACCGTTAATGTAGATAAACGTGTAAATACAACTAGCTGTTGTGGAGTAAAAAATATTTCCGGAATACATTCCTACAAGTAAAAAACCACGTTTCCATAGAAAATTATTTTTACTGCATATCTCTTTTTTTTCCTAACTGCGAGTACAATTTCTCAATAAGAAAAGAAATGCTTGGAATTCACAGCTGCTGCTACAACACACGACGGTCCTTTGATCTATCAAGATCCCAAGTGTAACGTCTATCGATTCAATCGAGTAATAGGAATGTTCGTATAAAAGCAAACGTTTCGCTATAATTATTATTCACAATACTTTTCATGTAATTTAAATGAGAATGTTCACGTAAGAACTATTCAACGAAAAAGAGGAGAGGATATATTACGCCTACGTTTGGTATAATCCTTTTATAATCTATGATTCATAATATTGTTTGGAATGTGATAATTATACGGTTAGAATATTTCTGGCCTCTTTTTTTCATCATCGAATATAGTCACGTACGGAAAGGAATGGTTAGTCGCGTAATACTTTGGAAATATCAATTCGCTGCGCAAAAGAAACGATATTATGTATAAAAAAAAAATCGATCAAAGCAGTCAGGTACGTTCTCACTTTCAGCTTTCCAGCTAAAAGCCGTGGAAAATAACGTTACCCAGTAACACATTTGTTTGCAGCACCATGTGTGAAAGAGAACGGTTAACTTAACGATATATATATTAAATATATGCAATATATATATTGTACACATACGTACAATATGCATATTGTATATGTATATATATGTATATATATTTATGTATATGTGGATTGAATTAAATACTGTATTTGTAAAACTACGTCACTACGTAGGACGTTTACATCCGACGATACTCGTATAGGTCTCGTGTCGTTTCTACAAAAATGCATCTCGAATAATCGAACTGGAGGCAATCTTGTCCCGAAGCTCGGGACGAGCTTTTAATTTAATGGAAGGCAAAATATCTGCTTTAGTAGACCTTTCCGCGGATTCTCATCCTCCATATCGTCATAGTCGTTCTCATCATAATTGCTAACAATCGCGTTATTATTGCCTGAATTGTAAGTTACGTCTGTGATACTCAGAGAACGAGAGCACGCCGGGCTTTCGTATCGGAACGGGAAGGGCGGCGGTAGCCGATGATGCTCATTATAATTATTGTCGTTCTCATTCTCCTCCGAATATGTCATTAGGAATACGTTATTGTGATAACCTTGATTGCTTGAGCCGATAACGGGGAGTAGGGGATCGATACGAAGTTTCGCGAGTCTGTCTTGCAATTCGTACATGTAACACTGCTGCAGCTGATGATGCTGGTAGAGTTGCTGGTCTTGATTGTGACGCTGCACAATGAAAAGCGGTTCTTGTCACACGCAGTCCTCCAGTGACATTAGTAGAGGATTCACATACTCGAAACCGTCGAATTCGCTCTGATCAATCTTCTTAATTACGTCCCTGAAAAATTTGTTTAAATCAATATCGCGTTCCAAACTCATCCGACAATGTAACAGCTTGAGCACATCAACCTTGTACAAAGGTATCTTTCGTGCGTTGAAATAATATAAATAAATTAGGTTGCGACAACTTACTCATCATCATCAGTCAAAATGACAGGCTCGTCCGTAAACTCGGGCGGGAAGTTCGCTAGATCGCGATCGGAATCCAAGCGTGGCTTGTAAGGTGGCGTGACCTGTTTTTGCTCCAACTACAAAGTTCAAAATAGTATTGTTAATATACAAAAAAAATTGTATTCTTTAAAACAGACAAAATTCTGCACTATGAAGATATTCACCATTTCCCAATCGATTGCTCTGAAGAAGGGATGAGATACTATGTCTAGAAAAGCGGAAGGCCTCTTTCCACAACCTAGCCTCTCGGCGGGATTTTTGCAGAGGAAACCTTTAAGAACAGACGCCGCCTTAACGGACAATGATCGCGGTATACGTATGGTCTTCTCGAGGATGACTTGAAACAGGAAATCCTCCGTATTCTGGTCCGGATTCTCGGCCGCGCCGGTGATGTCAAAGGGACTGCGGCCCGCCAGCATTTCGTACAGCAGGACCCCCAAGGCCCACCAGTCCACCGAGAAGCTGTATTCCTCGCCACGAAGAATCTCGGGAGCGATATAATTCGGAGTGCCGCAGAAGGTACCGGTGTTGTCGCCCTCCCGAATGCCCTCCTTGCACATTCCGTAGTCCGTAAGCTTGACGTGTCCTTCGTGGTCAAGCAGTACATTGTCTAGCTTCAAATCCCTGTATATGATTCCTGAAAGCGAATAATTGCGGCGTTTAAACTCGTCTGCTGCAAAGCTGTTCGATTTGTTCGTAACATTAAAAAAAAAAAACAATTTTCCTTACCCTTCTCGTGCAAAAAGTTTAACGCCAGACTGATCTCGGCTACGTAGAACCGCGCGTGATCCTCCGGAAGACGGCGCTGTCTTTGCATGTGGAACATAAGATCACCGCCACGCACGAATTCGATCACGAAGAACAGACGCGATGGCGTCTGGAAGCAGGAGTGCAGGCCCACCAGGAAGGGATGATTCGAGGCCGTCTCGAACACGTGCTTCTCCGTCTGCACCCAATCGATATCCTCGTCGTCCGTCACCAGTGCCTTCTTGATCACCTTCATGGCGTAGATCCTCTTGGTACGCTTCAGCTCCACCATCAAGACCTTCGCGTACGAACCACGACCGATCACCCTAATCAGATCGAAGTCGTTCAGTGAATACTGCCGCTGCATGTCGTTCGATGTGTCGCCCTCGTTCAGAGTGTCCAGTGGCAATTCTTCCCCTTCCTCACTTCCGATTCCTAAAAATAAAAAAACGTATGAATCGCGTGTCCTTGGACTTTAATTATATTGCAATAGTGCTTTCTTAAAAGAATTGCAATTTATCATCGTTTCTGAAAAACAATATCGGGTAAAAATTCTTAAAATCCATCTTACGATCGCGCGAATGCTTCTCAATAATCGGCGACTCCGTGATTTCATCTTCGAGATGAGTCGCTGGACCGCAAAACGAATCAAGCTGTTGGTCGCCGTTTCTGTCGAGGGTCGTCTGCGACTCCGCGCTCTGTTGCTGCTGCTGCTGCAGACTCAGGCACGGCTTCCGCACCACCTTGTGGCATTTTTTGTGCACGAGCAACTTGCACTGGATGCACTTGAACCCCTGCCGCCCAAGGCCCCAGATCCGATCCTGGCAGAACGCGCAGAAGGCTCTCTGCGAAGCAACCGACGTGAGACGTTACATCACTTTCAGGACTTCCCATGCCATGTATGGGGGAGTATCGCGAAATGGAAGTCGCGTTCGAAGCCTTGCGAGGAAATCAATAACGTTTTGTACGCGACGTACCAACTTGTCGAGCTCTTAAAGAAATCCAAGCGTAACTCCGGACGCTCAATTGACTTAACGCAGCGCAGCTAATACAGCGTAATATCGCGCGAATAAAGCGTGAAACTTTGCAGGACTGAAGTCTGAGTTGGGAAAAAAATGTTAATTGAGTTTAAGTATCGGTCTTAAACGCGAAAAACGCTCTTTCAAGAACGCGGGAGAAGTAAGGTAAGGTATCGGAGAGAGGAAGGAGATGAAGATAAAGCCGCGAAACGGCGGGATCACGCACGAAGCGCGAGATACAGTGGGTTACGTGAGTCCAGTTTTTGACAGCGACTTTACGCCTCCAGCAACACAGAGGAGAAGAGCATTCTGCTCTCTCTCTCTCGACGACGAAGTCACTAGCCAGCAAGTTTTAGTGTGTTGGAAGCGTGTTGCTCTGCACACGAGAGCTCTACGACTCGGAACGTCGTTTCCGTCGCCGCGTCGCACCTGCGGCACGTCTATCTTCGCAAAGATAGTGCGAGGTGAATGGGAGGAGGAGGAGGGAGGCTAAGGAGGAGAGAAGTGATAAATAAAGTAAAGGTAATGTGCAATGAGATAATTAAATGGCATGATGCTTACCCGATTGAATCGTTTCGCCTGAAATATATGGCCGTTCACTCGGTACAGCTTCCTCCATCTACGTGCGCCACGTCTGTAGATGCTTCCTTCAGAAAATGAAATAACATAAATGTCACAAATGATGAAAAGCACCACCGACTGATTTGATCTTGCCGCGATCCGACCCGATGATCCGAGCAACGATGAAACTTCATTACAACGCAGTTTTTAACGCAAACGTCCAATTCATTAATGCACATGCTAATTAATAGAGTTATCTTTCGACCAATTTACTGACAAAGAGATTTAAGAAATTTTATGAATCAATCGTTTTAACATATTCTTAAATTTAAGGAATATTTTTTTTAATTACAAAAAATGCTTGCACAAAACTTCGTAAGAGACGAATACCTAACAGAGAATTTAAATGATTTAAAAAAATCTTTAGCTCGTACGTTCAGAAATGTTTCTCGATAATAAAGTTTCGTCGTCGAATACTGCGAGTTATTTTCGCGAATTCATTTCGCACCACCATCTCTCTCTTTTTGTCCGGTCGCGACCGATCGCGTAATCGAACGACGCGCGGTTTCACCGGCAACAAACGAAGCAAATCGACGCAAACGGGAACGATATAAACAACAATAACAACAAAGGCCAGTGATAAACAGTTCGTGCGGAGTGTAATTCGTGCAGCGTCAACGGTGAAAACACGCGCCGAAGTGACAATAAGTTGTGTTATAATTTCTTTTTTTTTTTAATCAGCAAACTACCGCGCGGAAAAATTTGGAGGAGACTCGCGACTGTTCGGATTAGATCCATGCCTGTCCACGAGTGCAGTGATCACGGTGTGTGTCGGCTACAACGCCAAAATAACTCGAGGAACGCTCAGCGAAAGTAAGTCGCACGCATGATGCGCGCGATTCAAAACAACAGTTTTTTCTGGTCATGCCAACAACCGTGATTTCCAGAATTCGTTCCTCAAGTCGTGATGACGTCAGAAAAGTCGCTCGGATAGTCATTCAACCGAGCGACCTTCATTGCAATCATCCTGAATTGTGACATCAACAGGAAAAAATTATGTAAGTTTCTTTATTACAAGTATGCGAAATAAATTATAAGTATATTATAAATCTCGACGGTGAATTGACGCGTAAAATATGCCAATAATTCTCATTCATAAATCTGCTTTATCCAATACGACTTGCCGCACGTGGGAGGAAAGTTAACTCTTCTTGCACGAGATGCGAAAAAAAGAGAAAATTATACGACTTTCCTGATGTCACAAGCCAAGATAATTGCAAAGCCGGGGAGTCTTTGATTTGATGTTACTTCGAGGTCTAGCGCAGGTGTCGATGTCATGAGAGTTGTGATTAAAAAACGTATCGAAGGGGAGAACTTGGTGGAGAACGAGGGTGTCGAGAGCGAGAGATGAATGTTTCCTCTACAGCTTCCGCTTCTGCACGTAACGGAGTTACGCGTCGTGTCTGTCTATTATCGCGCGCTAATCGTCTCGTTCCACCGGCCGGTTAATTAGAACTCGCTGGCTAGTACGCATTGGTTAACATAATGTATAGATACATATATATATGCATGTATATATATATATATATATGTATATATATAATATGTATGTATATATGTATCTATATCGAGCGCAAGCGAGATGCTGCTTGACTTGGCTGCGATGTTTCCAATGAACGGTAAACACACTCACTGTCTTCTCCCTGACACGGCATCCCGGGAGCGGGCGGCACGTTAGGAAAAACTGCAACAGAAGAAAAAGAATTCACGCTCGCATCGCTGATGAAAATGCGATACTCCTCTCTCGAGTTTGCGACAAACAGAATTACAAACATTTGCGAAACGAATCTACAATCTCTACCACCTGCTTAAATAATAATTTCTATTTCTCGTGTTGTCTCGTTACACATTTGCGACGCAAGCAGACTCGCGTCGAAAACAAGAGTATAAAATTAACGACAATGATTATTGTTCGTAATGTATGAGAGGCGTGAGAATAGAGCGGAAAACCACGCTAACAATTAATTAAAAGCAAATTTTTGCTTTCACAGATCGTGCGCTGATGTTGAGATGAAAACGGCTGCGATATCATACTTCTTAATGTCACACAGTTTAATGTGCAGGACTTGAAAGTGCGGATTCAATTCGTCCATCGACTGACGTCACTCCTACATTCATTCCGAAAAGTATTACGTGAAGACGTCGACGAGGCATCGCGGGCTTGCAACTTACACGGGAAGCAATTCGCGTATCGGAACCCGATCGAGACTCGCTGCTCGTTGTCCAACATGCTGCGGCTGTGTGCTGACTGTCGTATTCCACTCGATATCACTCCGGCTACGGTCAGATAACGAGCCGCCACTGACTTCCACACCGTCGAGCCATCGTCGCATTATCACTTATCGCCGCGAGAGAGGCACGAGGACGGCGCGGGGCGTTGTAAATAGGTGCGCGACGATACATAGACGGAGAAGTATTGCTTCGATAGGTGCAGCAGTGTGATTAAATTTCCACGCGGCGATAAAACCGCGAAATCGATGCGAGCTGCGCGGCGCGAAATCTCCGCCGGGCGGCCCGACGACGTTTTCCTTCGCGCGGACCTACGTAATCTCGTTACTCGCGACGTCGCGTTAATCCTGTCCCCTAGGAACGGTCACGAACATCGTGTAAATTCCGATTAGCGAGAACGCGAGGACACGTGACCTTTATCAGAACGATCCCAGACACGAGTCGGTCCGTATAATAGAACGAAGATTAAATGTAATTAAGTATATTACGTCGCGTGTCGCGCGGATGAATAATATTTAATGAAACTCCCGGAGTCCACGGAAGAAATGAAAGTCGGCGCGCGCGGTTGACGGATGGAAATTCAATTAAATTGTTCCGTATTATTCGCTTTAACCGCGCTTTAAAGCGAGCCGCTTTGAATATCCCGCTACGACGAGATTCGAGTGGTGTAGCAGCATCGAGTAGCTTAAGCTAGAGGCTGAAAACATACCGAAGGTTGAGAGTGAATTTTTGTTCGCAGGCACGTTCCTCAGGCCAGATAAAACGGCCGACTTTTCGCTGATCTTCGAAATAAATCCTCCGCTCGCGCGAAACTCAACGGATGACGGAACAATATCTGTACAGCGCTAATAACGCAAATTCGTTAATCGATTTATTTAAAATAAGGGCTTGAATAAATTTAAATCCAACCAGTCCAAATCGTATAACTTTATAAACAAATTTATTCAGATTAAGGATAGAAAAAAATTCATTAATTGATTTATCAAAAATGAGGATTTAAATAAATTTAAATTAATTCAATTAAAAAGTAAAAAAGAAAAAAGAAGGGTAGTCAAATAAATCTAGAAGCAAAGTTATTATTCAGTTCCGGTTAAGACTGGAAATTCATTCAGTGGTCCATTTAAAATGCAAGACTTGAACGAAATCGATATACTAAATATTACAAGTTTCGAGATTTTTAAGACAAATCAAATATTGAATTTGGCAGAAAAAAGAATCGACTACCTGGAAGAGAAGCGCGGATTATCACGGTTCTGCTAAAATCATCTAGCCTTAGCACGGCCGCGAGGATTGCGTGGACACAATGACGCGTGTCATATGATCGCGACGTACGGACGGCAAGTTTCGCTAACGAGGCCATCGGTGCTCTCCCATCGGTACAATATACGTAATCGAATCCTTTGTTACGCGAGAGCCGCGGCTCGCCGCCAACACGTATCAATGATGCAGGACGTGTGTGTATATATTATATATATATATACATATATATACATCGCGGACGGTGAGCGCAATTTCTTGAAATATTCATGGACTAATTATCGCGGAGGGGAAGATCGATGACACGGGCGATAAAGACGAGACGATGTACGTTCGCCCTGCGTGGGGCAATGTGGCAGCGAGCTGTGTGCGGGATGCACGTACGATGGACGCGTAGCACATCCTTGGGGCACGATCTATAATGGTAAGTGCATAAGTGCACCGGCGCATAAACGCGAAGGAGGGCAACGAAGATCGTGTCTCTGAGACTCCTCTCTGTGTAAACCGATCTCGCGTCGAGCACGCGTCGATACGGCCCAAGTTCTAATTTATGTGTCCAAGTTCAAGCTATTGGACAACGAGACGCGTATCCTCGATAACAATATATGTGCGAGCTGAGGAAAGAAAGCGATAAAATTTATCGTCAGAGCGGCGCGAGATGATAATCATCATCTTTGTCGCTAAACATACTGCGAATAAAGGGCGCTACTATTGCGATATGTATGATACACTTTGATTATTTATGTGTAATTATATAAAAAGCGAAAAAAAAAAAGAGAGATAAAACTTATCACATCAAAGTACATGCGATGATAATGATCGCCTTTGTCGCTTAACACGCTATAAGCGAAGCGCTGTTGCAAAACAATAATGATTATTGTAACGCATTTTTTTTCGATTATTTAAAAGTAATAAATATGAATCCCCCTAACGAGCCGAATGTTGACAGCTGATTTATCACGAATTAGTAGAAAAAAATGGAAAAAGTAACGTTAAATTGTGTCACCAATGATGAACGCGATTAAACAGAGCGAAATAATCCAGTATGAAAAAAGTATTTCCCTGTTAAAAAATAAAATTAACGTCGCTGCTATATATAATACATTTTAATAATTTATAAGCAATTGCGTGAGGTAGAAAAAAAAAAAAGAGATAAAATTTATCATCCGAGGCAGTGCGGTGATAATAATCACCTTTGTCGCTTAATATACTACAAGTAGACTATTATTGCAAATAATAATGATGCAATTGTGCGGTTTATCTTCTCGATTATTTATAAATAATAAATGCGAGTATTCAACAAGCCATAAATCATGCAACTGTACTTAAAACGTTCAAATTATTATCCACAGTATTACGTGAAATTAATGCGAAAAAAAAAAACATCGTTAAATTGTGCCATTAATTATGACACGATTAAACAGAGCGAAGTAATCCAGTATGAAAAAAAGTTTCACCGTCCATCATACTCGATACTACGATACAGAGGATGCACTAAAGCACTCGAACAACAACTTGGCTGCAACTGCCAAACACAAACTACCCTTCCTTATTTTAGCGAGGACAAAGTCGCGATAATTAATTCACGTGACCGACTTAGAGTTTTATATTACTGCAATGCGCTAAACGTCGCGACCGCGACGATTTCCGTCAACAAGAGCCGGGGGGAGCCGGCGAAAAAGTGCGGCGCATCGAGTGAGTGTCGCGCGCTGTCGCGCGATTGAAAACACGCGTTTTTCCGGGCGTCGCGGCCAGCGCATCGAGCGGAATGCGCCACATACAATCGTACGAAAGAGAGAAAAAGAAACGTGACGCAAAAACGTTATCTGGCAAAGGCAGACTTTGACCTAGATTGCGATGCGCCGCATTAGAAAAGGAATATGATGATGACAGCGAGCGAGCGAGAGAGAGAGAGAGAGAGAGAGAGAGAAGAGAGAGAGAGAGCGCGAGTGGTGGAGAGCTGTGGTCACGCGCGAGACGCTCGCCGCACCCTCGCCGCCACCTCGGCTCCTCGCACAGCACCTACCCCAGGTGATCTCGTTGAACTGGAACTGCGACGGACCGGCAGGCTCGATTTCGAGCAGCGACGTCATCGAGGGCGCGGATTCCGGCGGCAACGGCGGTAGCGGCTGCTGACCGCACGGTCCATGCAGACGGCACGTTGCGGTGGGCCCGATACGGCCGTAGATCAACTCGGCGTTCATCGTCACTTCCTCCAGCTCGGCTTCGGAAAGCTCGTCCATACCTTCGTCCGGCGGACACTGGAGCAGCTTCGCCACTCTGGACGAGGACGAGGCGCCGGGCTGCGCGAACATGTCGTCGTGATGATGATGATGATGATGAAGCGACGGAGGACTTCCGCGCGAGAGCGGCGGCGAGATATCGGCGGCGCGAAGATGACCGGCGAGCGGTTGCTCGTACTCGGCCGAATCGCCGCTGCCCGGCGACGACGGCGGATACGCGCTGGTGCCGGGTTTCACGTGGCGTTCCCGCGGCAGCACTTGGATGCCGGTGGACGTGATGGAGGATGGACCACCGCCTTCGACGGCGGAGATACGACGGCTCGCGGCGGCCGCCGCCGCCGCCGCCGTCGCCGCCGAGTACGAGTAGAAGGAACCACCCTGGATCATCATGCTGCAGGGCGGCTCTTCGACCGCGACCGACCCGACACCGGCGACGGTGGCCACGCCGCCGAGCTCTCGCTCCTGCTGCACGCTGCCGTACGCGCTTTGCGTCGACAGCTCCGACTGGTGCATCTGCTGTTGTTGCGCCTGCTGCGACTGCTGATGCTGGTGCAAGCTCTGATGCTGTTTGTCCTTCTCGCGGCGAGGTGACCGACCTCGATCGCTGACGGAAGTCGCGCTCCAGTAGCCCCACGCCATTCTGCGACGAGTTGAGCCGTGCTTGCCTCGCCTTGCTCGATCGCCGCCGATGTGTATATCCCCCTTTCCGCTGTCCGCTCTCCGCCCGCGCGCGCTCGATCGCCGCCTCGCCTTTCTGTTTTCCGCGGCTCTCGGATTGCACCACCGGCGGCGACTTTCTTCCCTCGCTTCTTTTCTTTCGGCCTTTCTCTCTCGTCCCCGCTATTCTTCTTCTCTTTTACCGCGGTCGACCTCTTACAGGAGCCGCCGGGATGAGCATGCGACGAATCACCAGCTCGATCGATGCTAGTTTACCGCCTCTTTTGCGACCTCTCTCAAATCGCGGTGTGGCGAGCGCCAAGCGCGCCGACTAGCCACCGTAGAATGCTAACCACCGCGTATTCAAGCCCCTTCGCGCGGTGCACCCCGTGCGCAACCCCGGCGCAATCAACTTCCGGCACGGCTTCCTCTCCGCCGCGGCGAGCCGATCTCGCGATCTCGCGATCTCACGGCGACCAATTGACGTCGCGACGGTGGCCCTTGCTGATCGGTCCGTGCAAGGATATCGACTACCGCCGCGGCGAGAGATGCGTTAACCGCCCGCCGCCGCCGCCCGGCGCACGCCGCCGACCGAATCGCGCAAACGCGGATCACACCGAGGTGGAGGCGATACATATATCCCCCGTCGTCCCCCTTCGCGCCGCCGATACTACACCCGTCTATATCCACCCACAGGCAGAACCTTTCCCAAGCTCTACCTCCACCTTCTCTCCCTCCCGCCCTTTCCCACCTCCTTTATACTTTTGCTGTTTGCCCGCTGATTATCCAGCGATTCTTCTTGTCGCCGCTTCAGAGTGAACTTTGCCACGCCGCCTCATATTATGTCACACATGCTTTTTTTTCAGCGCTTCAGCTCGTTAATCCTATTTTCCGTCAAGGATTTTCCCCATCCTTTGTACGTTTCTGCGGAGAATTCCGAGGGAAACTAGTATTCCGAAGTGCAATAGACTCTATTGTACTTTATTCTCCACTTTATTTTCCTGCGTTTCTCCTATTTTTCACTTGTATCGTTGGTCGTTCGTCTCTTTGAATTATCACCTTGTTCCTCCCACTCCTTCCTTCTCTCTTCTTCGATCCTTCTTTGTCATTCCACAGTAATGTGCAGTTATCGCCGTTGTTGTTGCTGTTGCGATTGATGTTGCGCAATCGTATAGATTTACAAAGGCTGATCACGAGACACGCACAGCGAGAAGCTGAGACTCTTCTGTCAATATTGCGCCACGATGCCTCGTCGCATCACGCGCGGTAAAGCTAGCCCTGTCTCGAGTTTGTTTTCATTAGAAAATTACTCATTTTTACGATTTGCGTTCGTTCAAAGGCTTCGGAAAGGAGAGAGATGTAGTCGTTATACTCGACAAAATTAATGGCAGCGATGTGTTAAACGTGGAAGCCTTTTCAGATCCTTTGTGAATTCTTCGAAAAATCAAGTAATTTAATTGGTTCAATTTCCTCATTATTTCAGTACTTTCTGGAAAGCCAATAATGTATTCACTGTTTGTGATCGACCTGTTTGCCCGTAGATGCGGCTCACATCAGATTAATTTACATAGATTTAATAATTTGATTTAAAAATAACCATAATCCACCCACCTCTTTTTCTTTTCATACTTTAATCTTCGAAGCTCAAAGGATTTGTTTCATAAAGTTGTCAAAGAGCTTCGATCATCATTAGCCGCGCGAAGAGGAGCGAAAGGCGAGGCGAGAGTCGAGTCCTCCGAACCGGAAATGTATGCACGATCACGATACGCTTCATCTTCCAAGAAGCATCCTACTGTCGCACAAATAAGACCCGTATCGAGTCATCTCGGAGGGTCGAAGTAGATGAATTTCTGAGCATATCGCACGCCGCGTGATTATATATTCTCGTAGACACAAGCGCAAAATGCGACCTGAGAATATTGTCATCCTTGAGAGGCCTAAATCGATATCGAGTAAACGCCGATCGTGGTCGGGCGGTGTTTCGCGTGCGTTTGTTGTTAATCAGCGACTTGCATCGACGATAAACTGCCGATAAGACGAAGTCGTACCGTTATCCAAGGCGCGTATCGATACTCCGTACGTTGGAGTGTTTGCATACGCGTTGGAAGTTGCGTTAACGTTATCGTTAATTGCTCGTCTACGTACATCATAGATATGTTATTATTTATGCGCAGTTTATTGATGGATTTCGTGTCTATAACACAAGCGTTATCATGAAATGTTGGAGCTACCGGTGGACGTCACCGGAAATTGTTTCATCGAATCTTTGTTTAATCAATTAATTCTCTCCTCTACCTACGTGATTCATGAATACGGTGCGCCGCTTTCAATTATGTAAACGCCTACGTAGGAGTAATTATTATCAGACGCGCAACATATAATTCTCAAATAATTAATACGCTCGTTCGTTGCTTTAACGCGTCGCTGAAATTGAAGCGGCATGCAAGATGACTAGACGATGAAATCAATGCTTATGTTTGTTGCATAAACGCACTAACCGTGTATCGTTATTTCCGTGTCCTTCTCGAGCTCGTACAGCCTCAGCGCTTCATCCAACTCCTGTTGCGACGCAATTCTGCAGGGATCGCCTTCGTCGTCCACCCATTTCATCGTAAATTGCTCCGTGCTGAAGCCGCATATCGTTCGCATCTCCTCGCGTAATGTGTCCACTGAAATCCCGGGGCTGATGTACGTAATTTGGACCTCCCTGATATAAAAAATAATGTACTTTTTATATAGCTTGAATTCGCTATCTTTCTTCCATTTTTTTATCAATATATATGTACTCTGCAAATTCTCCTAAAAAATTGCTACGTTATATTTATTACTAAATACAATTTTTAACTCAATACTATTAACTAATATATGAATAAATAAAATTTATTTTGTACCAAATTTAAAAGTTAATGTAACAAATTTTGAAAAGAATAAGAGATAATTTAACCATTTGAGTAGAACACAGGGAAAAGAAAAAAAATCTACTAGATTGAAAATTATCAATAATGTTAGCAGATTGATTAAATTTGCTGTTGGCTATTTGGATAAGTTGCATTTATCTTTCAGCACTGAAATATAATGATAATGTAATATCCAAAGAGAAAAAAAGAGAATAATAGATAACTTTATAAATTGAAGAAGCATCATCAACATTACTTGTCAAATAGAAAAGAGAAGGAAGATATATCGCAGTTTTTGATAACAGTTAAAGATAACAATTTAAAAAATTAAATATTATTTTTTTTAAATTCATCTGTACATCATATTATATATCATCATCATCATCATCATATACAACATGTATTACCCATTGTATATAATTTTCACTCGAATGTCATCGTTTTCCGTCGTTTGTGTAGGCATTTTCGAAGCAATGATCTCCTATTCTGAAAGTACAATTCAATTATATAAATTTAGCATATATTAAAAATCGCACGAAATTGATTGATAACGCGATTTTATTTGATGAAACAGTGCCATAAGGAAAGTGAAATTTCACCGTAAAATATTCGATATTTGAACGTTTTAACAATGCCGAATCCAAGCTCAACTCACAAATTGTGCAATTATTTGTGCAACACTGATTTCAACACGAAACTGCTTTATCACACACAATCGTCCGAGTCGAGTATTTAAACTGCAGGTTAAGATATTGTATAACAGTTATATCTCAATAAGAAAGCGAGCGACAGATACATGGATTCGCGGAACGGGAACAAGCGCACAAAATCGACGTTAGCCGAGCGGCGGTCGACTAACGGCCTGCTTTTTACGGTCGCGCCAATTAGAGCTCAGATATGTGACAATTGTCTCTCCTTCTGCTGTCAATTAGGCTCGCGCGTTTATATACGTGTGTAGCTACTGACTCACCGCGATGAACCGTCGTCGCGAGCCGCCGTCACCGCCGTCGCCGCCAATGCACTAGTTGCACAATTCCGCACTGGCTGAGAGACTTCCGCCGGTCTAGGCTACCTCTACTTTTGTAAAAACGTAGAAAAGGGGTTCGCCGACGCGAAATGCGGAATAATATGCACAACGACGAAGTAACATCAACTTATTAGTAAGGCACTCGTTACGCGGTACGGAGCGTTGTTACTTGGCAATCGCCATGTTTGTTGGCTACTGACTCGTCGCGCAATTGCTGTCGTTGCTAGTACGCGAGCTTCATGATAGATAGCGCAGTTTCTCTGCTATTTGTAGCGTTTCTTTTTGAAATTTTGTCCTGGTCAGTAGATCTATTTAATTTCTTAAATCAATATACATTAATTTTTCACAAGTTTTTAATTTTACTAAATGTTTTCCTCGTAAAATTCAATTTGTTTTAAACAATAAGAAAGAAGCTAAGTGTATTTTCTTCTTTATGATCAAGCGATCAATGTGTATTATTTGATAATAAAACAGTACATCAGTTGTCTTAAGTTTCATAGGATTGAATAAAGATGTCGATTCTAAATGTGCGATTCTTAAAGCTGCGTACACTATAAATTATTTCTCAATTTGTATCACTATTTATAAATCGCGAATTTATAAAAAGACACGGGAAATGAAGATGGAACAATTACGACGAGAGACATGATGACATAACGTTTAAATCCACGCCAGATTCAAATCTCATTTCCGGAGCGGCGTTACGCGATTTCATCGTCTCGTAAATCTCTCGTTGCAGTGGTCATCGGATTTGCGGCTCCAACAGAAACGCCGGGACGGTCCAATCGTGTGGAGACCGAGGTGGCCGAGGATGATGCAGGTGTTGACGCATCGTCGAGATGCGTCAGCGACTCACGGCACTTATCTCCGCTAGTGTAGATACGATCAGTTTTCATTCCGTATATCAGTCCGCCTGGTTCGCCTTCTCGGCTGAGTACCACCTCGCTCGTTGCACTCGCATCTGAGAGTCTCATAGTGCAGTTATGGTCTCCGTGGTGTTCAAAGTGGAATTCTAGCCGCGATAGCGCCCGTGGCTCGCGAGGGAGGTGTCGCGGGATGTAAACATTCGCCCTGCAATCCCGTGCACCTGAAACTGCGTCGAAAAGTCCCGCGGCGCTTGCAGCTGTGCTCGCAGAACGGCGATCATGAGTTGACATCGTTCTCGGCATCGCGCAGTAAATGCCGCGCGCCGCATCAGTCGAAGTATGGACGTCGCGGAGGACGCGGAAGGCGCGTTGGACCCGCGCATACAGGTAACCCTGGCTGCCGAGCCTTTTCCGAACATTCATCGGCTCGTAGGATCCTGAATGAACCTTTCGGCGGTTGCTTACGCACGAGTCGCGCCCGTGCATTTTGGTTATGTTTGTTGGCTCGCGGGTGCGATCATAGTGCCTAACACCGCCTGGTACATCGTCCTACTTTGCTTTCACTTTCCGTCTTTTGCACCGACGGATGTACGGTGAGATGCGCTTGATTATGAATGAATCGATTGTGTTTGTGCGGTGGCAATGTCCTGCCGAAAGGTATTATTCTATATGGAAAATTTGGAGACTTTGCTTCATATGTGTGTGATCACAATGCATTTCTTTTATCGTTTGTTGAATCATATTTTTTTATATCTTACGCGATTTTATATTTTGGAAAATAAAATAGTATATTTATGTGTGTGTGTATATAATGATAAATAAATAAATATTATTTTATAATATTATTAATAGTATTCTTTAAATTTACTATAAAACTATATTTCCTTTTTTTCCATATTTTGTAATGTTACATCAAATAAGGCAAATACACGATAATAGAATAACAATTTTTCGATTATGTTGTGTTAAGTATAAGTTTGCAGCATGTGACACAATATTATATAATTCTACCTATGAACAAAAAGACTTATAAGATGTCTATGTTTTATGTGATTTTTCGTATTATAAATTATGCAAATTATAGATAATATATATGAGATAATAATATATGTTATAAAATAAACTCGTCTTTTAGATCGAATTGGAGAACTTAAACAATGCAACAGATGATATTAATAAGCTGGAGACTGAATTGGATGTAAGAAACAATCTTATTTATAGTAAAAAATATATTCATTTATAATCTATATACAGAGAAAATATATCTAACTTAAACATATCTGCAATATTTATTTGATTTTAATTGATTTTTAGGAAGCTCATACCGCTTTTAGGCAGCTTCTTTCTGATACAACAAGAAGATTGAAAGAAATAACAGAGAAACTGGGTACTAGCTGTATTGAAAAGGCAAGATGTTATTACGAAGCTTTGGAACTGGCTCGCCAAGCTCAGGTAAAAATCTAGACGAAGCTAATTTCATTATCAAAATGCTTTTTAGAATAATCCAGTCCAAAAGCATGTAATTATAAAAATGATTTACTATTTCAGCTATATATGCATATGCTAAAATTATGCATAAGTTAAAATCACATGTTTTTTTTTTTAGATTTCTTTCAATTATTATATCCCCGAATGTAACATTTTATTTTTAATATAAATACTGTTTGTACCTTTTTGTATTTCTGAACATTAATCATCTTGCATTATTTTGCACTTAATTTAAATTACAAATAGCTGAATTGCTGCTGAGCTGACTGTTATATAAATGAAACAATGAGACGTTTCCTCATGCAATTTGCAGGTGCAATGTCAACAGCAGGCAAAGCTATTTCAAAGAGCCAGCGAAATTCATGCGGCCGCGAAAGAGACGGTAGCTCTGGCCGAAGCGCGATTCATGTCACATCAGCATGAGTGGAATTTCGACCAGGCATGGCAGGATATGCTCAATCATGCCACTATTAAAGTAAGCATCAGAGTAGAACGTATAGCGCGTGGTAATCACGCTATACGTTCGATAACAATTTTCTTCAGCATCCATTTTATAGCATTATGAAGCATTTAAAACCGTTGAAAACATTCTGACATTAATTTATCTATTTTTGTCTATTGTAATTACTTGCATTAATATGTTTGTCTGTCTATCGTATTGAAATAAATTTTAGCAATGATAAATTTCTGCCAATTAATACATGAATGCATCGTAATAAAGATATAAAATGAGATATCTTATCAAGGTCATGGACGCGGAAAACAAAAAAGCGGAATGTGGCCGCGAACATCATCGGAGAGCAACGCTGTTTCACGACGCCGAAAAGAAGCTAGTACAATTAGAAGAGAAGCATCGACGTGCGATAATAAAAGCTAGACCGTATTTTGAAGTGAAGGCTCAATGCGACCAAATGCTGGAGACGCAGAAAGGAAGAGTGGAATACTTGCAGCTAACTGTTAAGGAAACTAAACGCAATTATGCAACGAGTCTCCGGACATTGGAGGAAATTAGTAATCAGATACATCAGCAACGAAGAGATTATGGTAGTTTGAAATACGTTTTTAGAGGAAAGTATGTGTTCTTTCTTTTTTATTTAATACATAACGTTTCAGACATCGTGGCTAATGGACCGCGAGAACCTGGCGTTGGTGCCGAGCTCATTGGTTCAGACATGTATCAGAAGTATGAGAACGAATTCAACAGTAACGACAGTTGTAAAATATCACCCGTTAGATATAACGAAAGTGGAAACAACGAAAAACTGCATGCTATCGAAGTTAGTAAAAATATGTAACAGTCAATTTCACGTAGAATGTTAAAATTGTCAATTTCTATTGTCTGTCTAAAATTTACAGAAGCCTTGTATGACAAGAGGGGACGCGGAGCATCTTGATAAGAGATCCGTGGACGGCAGTGAGAGCAAATTCACGCAATGGGAACTGGAGTTACAAGCCAGTATGGAGAAATTGAATCGCTTATCGGTTGAGAAATCGTCGTACGTGAAGGAGCGAGGAAATGCGCAAAGTTCTTCTGATTTACGAGACGCTGTTGAAGTCGGCACCGCGAATGGAACATGCTACAATCTTTTACCTGCCGAACAATCTAATGCGCACAGCTTAAATCAATTTCCAAGATCGACTGCGAAAGATTTGAAAACTTTCGTCGGCAGACCGTCGGAAGGTACATCGACGCTCGTTTCGAAGAACAACATTTCAAAGTCGCTGAACAACAGTCCAGTGAATAGGAGTACGTCTACTTTCGAAGATAGGACTATGAAAAAAACGGGAAGCGCAGATATATCCAAGTACGTGCCAAACCAAACCTCCTCTCAATTCGACATTAAGAGCAGAAGAGCACAGAGCAGCTCAAATATCAACATTTCTAGCATCGATGTCGATGCTACGAGCGAAGAACAAAGAAGAAATAACGTGAATGATACTTTAGTTAGTAAGAGCCATGTACAACTTACAAATTTATCTACCACGCAAGCTTCTAATGCCGAGTTCCTGCCTGCGGAGTCTAGTTTATCAAAAAAACGTTTTGCACCGGCCTTCGGTGTTAATCAACACCGTGTGGGCTCGCAGAGCGATGTCACGTTATCGCAAACACGGTCTAGTTCTAATATTCTGCATAAAAATGCATCGTGCAGTGCCAATTCGAGTCCGCGGAGGCTGAAGAATCTGCTGAGGTCGACCGCGAGATCTACGGATAGCAAGAGCACGGAACGTCTCGACGAGAGATTCAATCTCAAAAAGTTAGCCAGCAAAACCGCCAGCATCAAAGAGTTACCGTTACTGTCGTTTTTTGGGTCAACGTCCGCGTTATCAACGATCAGAGGCAAGAGTTGCAGCATGATCGATTTGGACGGTAAACAGCACCTGAAGACACTACTGGATAACTCTCGTCTAGGCAACATACAGGCGGTGAGTGCGGAAAGATTAGCGAACGCGAGGCATAAATTAGTCAGCGATTATCCGGAGACAAAGACGGACGATATTAAGAAATAAGTACAAGAACAATGCGATAGGATAGAATTACTTGTGATAAATGACTTCTACGTTCAACATATGTGTAAGTAGCTAATATTAACGTTCAGGAAGCTCAAGTGTGCACAATGAAACACTGACGCGTCATAATTTAAGCTGTAGAATGTTCTCGCGTTCCTGAGATGTTACAAGAATCATTTCTACAACTTTGCTGCCAATTATACAGCAGCCAATTATTGAATATATGCTGCTATGTTAATCAATGATGCGTATTGTATAAATCTTTGAAGATTTAGTTAGATATTAATATCTTACGTCTTTTAAAAATAAACTTACAGTGTCAACACGATCAAAGACGTTCGATCATTCAAAAGTTAGATACACACGATTTACTTGAATGCACAAATCTACGTCATCATTTAGTTAAGCAGTTAAGTATATACTTGTTATTAAAAATTGATCAAACGATATATGTGTCGTATCGTTTACTATTTTCTAATCTTTTAATATGTGCTTTTTTAATAAAACACTTTTCTTAACAAGCAGCTATCATATGTGTACCTCACATTCACAATGCTTCAAGTATTGCAGCAGTATTTCTTAGAGTTTTTGTTTCTTTTCTAACAAAACTGAACAAAAGTTTATTTGCCATTATTTTTTTATTTTGAACGTCAAATATTGTGGCACTGAATTAAATTTCTTCTAGAATAAAATGCCTTTAAAATAAAGTAACAAACTAATGTTTTTACACCTCGAAATTTGATTCTCATTATTTTCGTCAAATCGTGTTAATTGTGAAATAAAATCATGAATATTTTTCTACGTATATAATTTTAAAAATAAGATGTTTAGTGCGCTTTTTTATTAATTTTGCCAATAATAAATAGCAGATTATTTTTATTATGAAACGCGAATTTGAATAAACGCTTATGTGATATATGTAATACAGAAATAATAACTATTTTATATTAAATATTTATGAAAAATGTATGATTTTCTTACAAGTAAATGTAAAGAGACAAACTTTAATCTTATCGGTCTATTTTTCCTTTATTATTTAAAATTAGGTATCATAGATTACTATCGCTCAAACAGATAGACATCGCGGCGGCACACGTCGATTGTGTAATGAAAAAAACCTAAAGATCAATGATTATATATATCACCTTGTTTCTATCAAGAAGTGGACTTTGATTGAAGATTGAACGATTTGTCAAATTTGTGGAAAGATAGCACGATGAACCGGGTATCGAATTTTCTTGCAGCGACGTTGCGCTGATATCGTAGCTTGTTTCTTCTTTGTTCCTGAGACGTCAATATGGCCTCATACTTTTGATCTAAATACCGTACATATCGAGCATTTCTGGCTCTGACGAATGTAAATTCTCTTGGACTAAATTACAGCGAATCGGGAACGCTCGTCAATTGGACTTCAATCGGCCATCAATAACTCGCGTCACGAGTCACCTCGGAAATCTAAAAAATTCGTCTCGTCGCTACAATATATCTTTTTCAATTCCATAGAGATAATCATTAAGGAGAGAAAATTAGCTCTTTAAAACTGGTAAGCTCATCGATAAACATCGGCCATTCTTTAATGTATAGGGTGTCTCGCATTAACGCTTAATGATGAATTCTTGAGCTAATTTGGAGTTGATAATGCTTCCGAGTAATTAGTGGTTAAAAATAGACATCGTAGCGAGTATAGATAATACAAAATTACATTTGTCAATTAGTTTTAACTAGACCTTATCTTCCAATCTTAATTTGAGGCTTAATTTGACTTTATTTTCCTCATTAAGTTAAAAATTGAAAAATCACGAAGAGAATATTATGATCATATTAAGATAACTGTTAACATAATCATATTAATAACTTTTATCGCAGGAAAAAAAGAGTAATTATAAAAATGTTTTTTACGCGATAGTTAAGTTTCAGACACCGGAAACCGCAATCGCGTGTTACGAGGATAAACACTCGTGGCGAAGATCGTCTGATCGCTGAAACGCGCGTCATCGACGAAAGGTTATCAAAACGCAGACGATAAGGCACAGCCGACAAACGGCGAGGATGCTTCACGAAGAAACGGACAACGAGAGGGTCGCCGGCCGCGCGATAAACAATCATCGCAAGGCATGTGATATCTGTACGCACGAGACTACCACGGACGACAAAAACATGCATTGGCGGATCTCGCAAAATTTGCCTGATAAAAGAAATTGGAGAACAATGGCTTTCATATCATTTTTACAGACGTGTGTTCAATCAACCATAAACGCAGTGCGACACAAACTGCTGTAAAAATATATGGAGAGTCAATTCATAAAAAAATCCCACTTTTTGCGAGAACTATTGATTATTATAAATATTTTTTACAGACATAATAATCACTTTAATAAATTTACAAATTAATTTTATTAACACGAATATCCTGTAATCCTAGTGAATTAAAGTTGGACTTTTTATCTGAAAGAAAAGAAATGTTTGCGTTACAGGGATTGAATTATTTTCATCTCGAACGCAAATATTCGGATAACGACAACAGAGTGCAGAAAAGAAAAGAATTTCCTAGCGAAACTACAGAAGACGAGGCAGAGGATGAGAAACAAGAAATTGATGAAAATCAAAAAGAAGAAGACGTAGAAATACAGAAAGTGAATACCAAGATAGAAGGAGAAGAAGAAGAGAACAAAGACGAGCAAGAAGATACGCAAATTGGAGAATGCGCGATTTGTCGCACTATTATCAACGAAACAAATCTGGGCGGCAGTGTCGGCGACTCTGAGCAGAATTCCGAAGGCTATTTGTTGTGTCTACATTGCGTACAAAAATTTTCCATTCGATCAGGTCAATAAAATTCAGTTTATATCGATTATATTAAATTTTCGCTGATCAATTGTATTTCATCAGTGGTAATTAATCCGCAAAGCTTCTTAAAGTGTGATCAAAATTTATATTACAAAGAAAACTAAATAAAATAGACTACGGTAAGTGGCAAATCGGGGCCAAATAACGAACAGATTATTTTTTTCTATAAATTTTGAAATTCAAGGATATCTTTTGAATGAAATTCATCATACACGTTCCCTGTTTTTCCACTTGCATCAGCTTACCCTATCATTTGAAGACAAAAATACATCAATTGTCACAGGCGCGGAGCATCTGCAATCCCGAAGATCGTACGGGAGCTTCTCTCAGGACAGAAGCAATGATCTCGGCGATTGTGTACGCTTGAGAAGAACGTACGACTCACCGATGTACTTGCAATCGCCGTCTCATCCATTGGAATTGCGGCGCGATCAGTGGGCTTGCAGCAGGACGACGATGTCCGGCGAGTCGAACAACGAGGCGATAGATTGCGAAAAGAGCTGCGGAAGACAGCGGTATGGCTATCGCAACCTGACGAGGAGAAACGACGTGGATCGATATGCCTCCGAAATTAAGGTCAAAAGTTCTTCTCTGCCGGCCTCCGCCGATTGCTCCCGCAGACCCATACGTTGCCCGCGTCTGGATTGCTCGGTAAACGTCGCCTTCTCGGCGCTCACACATCATTTCCTCTTCGATCATCCCGAGGTACCTATTCTCAGCGTCGAGCCCGGCACTAAGAGCACGCTCATCATCAGCTACGGAGCTCTCTCCTGCAACTCCAGTCGATGTCTAGCTCTCTTGTTGGTATCCGGAAAGCTCTCGTTAGTACATTAAATCATATAAATCTGCCATGTATCTCTTATACAAAAGCATTAGTATACATGGTATACATTTTGCAGAAAACAATAATGATCTTTCTCATGAAAAATAATTCAATTTGTCAATCAATTAAAAAAAATTCTTTAGCGAATGCAGTTTGCGATTCCACGATTAATACTGATTCAACTAATTAATCATACAAATTTCTGTAACAATAAGAGATTCCGCAGCAAGATTGTTCGGTGGCAATCAGGTGAATGCCAAGTATCGAAATCGATTGCCTTTGCCGGTGCTGGCCGCGCGTTTGCACAGCAATCGCAGTTACGCAAATTGCGAAGAGGTACACGCCGGCGGAGAAGGCCAGTGTGAAAAAGATGTCATCATCGCCTGGGTGGCTGGATTAGATGTCAGCGATACAGCCGACAAACTTCGGTGTAGTATCCAGGTATTCGTATTTCGATCGATTTGCCGTAACAAGTGCTCAAAAAAATGCGTAATGGGATTTGATCGATTTGGTCCGACAGGCAGTGGATAACATCGAGAACGGGGGATTCCGATCGCTCACGTATACGGGCCCCGTTACGTCTCTGAGAGCCGCTCAATGTCCACGCGACGTCTTCTTAGCCGGCGACTGTATTGTCCTTCACGAGGGACTGATCGGTCACATCACTTCCGGCTGCACCAGTCTTAATGTAAATGTCATTGTACACTAAGTCTATTACGTATCAATGCAGGCCGTATGTATACATTCATCCTTTAAGCTGTAAGTATTACCGTTTCCGAAAATGTATACTCGTCCAATATATAAATCACAAGGAAAATGCAAGAAAAACGAACGGAGCAAGTGACATTGTGTATAAAAACATTTATATTGCATAAAAATATGTATAAAAGATATACGCGTATAAAAGTACGTACAAGAACGGCTTAAGCTCATAAGCTGGTCATGGCAGGGGGTCGCGCGTACGCTTTAGGAATGAAACCGTACTTGCGGGTTTTGGGCGCGTAGGCCCACAACCAACCGTCCACCGTCTGATTTCCCAGATCCGCGTAAATCCAGTCGGCCCGTTTCACCGATAGATCATCCGGCGCCTGCGCCTTGTAATCGTAAAGCACCACTAACTCCGTACCGGTTGTCTCATCCCGGAAATCTCGCACTCCTTTTTGCTGCAGCGACTCGCCTCCCGTTATATTGCCCACCGTGCCTTTGCCTGCAAAGTCAATGCAAAACGATGAATTGCCAATGGAATTCCGTCATATGCATTTTAAGTTTTTCCAATTTTATTTTCATAAAAAAATGCATCCTATAAAGCGAAACTTTTATCATCTTAAAAAGCCTTACGATTCTCCGTAAGAGTCAATGATTAAATCAAACACCAACCTGGACTGTGAGTCTCCGCAGACGCTGTATTTGTTGTGGCGGTGGCGGCGGCTGTCGTGGTAGCCGTCGCGTAAGAATGGAGAACGTGACCGGGATAGACGAAACCGGACGGCACAAAACCCTCATTACCATCGCAATGTCGAAGCACCCAAAACCAATCCGGATCGTCGCGATTCAGCACCGTCACAAATTCACCTCTCTCGACGCTAACGTCGTTCTCGTCTCGCGCCACGAATGTGTAAAGGACAATATATCTTCCGGCCGATGGATCCTGCAAGGAATACAAAATTACAATAGAATCCACGAGAATACAATAAAACACTGATGCGCTCTCTAAAATGAATCAAAATTTATAGCGACACTGAAAAAAAAAATTCAAAATCAAAATAGATATTTGACACTTGGTATTTAGCCAAGCGGTACCTTGAAGAAGGGATGTACATCCGGCTGAGACGATATAGTCTGTATGGAATTCTGAGATTGCGTGATGGAGCGATTGACATTGACGTCTGCAGTAGTGATATTATTTCGCGCGTAGCTCTCACAATCCGAAGCAGATCCGGTGTCGGTCTGTTGCGTCTCTTGCAAGCGGCCCGTGGTAAGAAGATCGCAATCGTTCTCGCTGGATCGTGGCAGCTTCTTCTTCACGTTATTCAAACTGGCAAGTGTCAATTCCGCCAGTTGCGATGTGTACGGTGCGCAATATGAATGCGGCACAAAACCTTCCATACGCGTATCCGCCGCTATCACGTACACCCAGTCATTTTCTCTATAAAGGACGTTAACCACCTAAAATGTTAAAATATTGTTAGCACAATCCTTTCTTAATAAATATCATATTATATAATATAATAAATAAAAATTATTTTATATCATTTTTTGTTATGTAAAATAATTGCATAAAATAAATTAGGAAAATTGGTTATAAATACTAGAATTACGATATACATGATACAAATATGCCTTCTGTAATACGTGATTTATGATAAGAGAAAAAGAATCATCGAAGTAAAATAATATTTTATTAATTAATTATTAACCTGGCCCCTTTTAACTTGAAGTTCATCGTCCACGCAGGGAGTAAAGTCGTGCACGATGACCATTTTACTGTCTGGAGAAAGCCCATTTTCCTTTTCAATGCCGACTCTTACGAGAGTTTCGATACTCGCGCTTCCAGTTATCCGTCCAGGAGGCAATGGTACCCTGGTGCCTAGACCAAGTCCTGTACTTCCACCTCCAACGCAGTCTTTCTCTAAATTGAAGTTATGTGTTCCAGCTATTTAAAATCAAATAATTGTCACAAATACGATACGAATAAATTTACATAAAACATTTTAAAAAAAATAGGATTCATTCTTTTTTAAACGGTTTTACGGTTTCGATAAAGATTTTATAATTTTATAATTTCTAAAATTTTGAAGATTTAAAAAAAATGATGTTTCAAAAATTCTAAAATAATATACAAAATAAAAAAAAATAATAAAACATAATTTTCGAGATAATACAAAAGTTGAGTATATTTACAAAATAAAAATAATAATAAATTAAAAAATGATATTTTTATGTGGGAGGAAATCATCTCGTGTGCTCTGGTAGAAGAAAAATCGAAAGTTGCGCGTAATCGGTGCTTGAACTCGGCCCAGGTCGCTTCGACTTGAAGCTGCATAACCGGTCCCGAGCAACAGGTGATCGAGCCGAATGTGACAACTGGCTCTCACCGACCGAACTGCTATGTCGTCGTTCGATCTCGTCTACTCTCTCAATACTCATGTCGCTTACGCGCTCATTACTTACGTTTCTTCTTCTTTCCACGACGTATACGCACGGGACACAGGAAGGCCATTCTGTGATTTCGTTGGTGATATCTCGCTTCGGAATGACTCACATCTCCAGCGCGGCCGAACGACTACCTGCCTCTTACGGTCCAGACGTCGCGGCACGCGCGGAATGCGAGCGTCCTGTTTAGCTCCTCAGAGATATACGGTGGAAATCGTGTAACGTAAAACGTGAAAAAACGAAAGAATTTTGTTAAAGTCGCGAAAACATGCGACCGCGATTAAACGAGACACCTCTCGCCACGGCGAACGGACGCGTTCTCCGCGTTCCTCGGGCAGGACTCGCGACCGCGATCGCGAATTAATCCTGGACACGGCAGGTAGAGAGCGCTACGGGATGATTGCGAGCCGCGGTCGCGGCTCGGCAATTGATTCCGTTAAGTTTTCATAATGATTCATATAAAATGTGACGCTGTCCTCCGAAAGGACAGATATCCGTAGAACTGAAATAAAATAGTTGGAATTGAGCTGGGCTACGGCTATACGAGAAATGTAATAGATGATATATTCCCATTATATAATTAATAAAGTTAGATGTGAAGAGAATCATGATTAATGTATAACTGATAATAATTAATACATAACTGCATATAAAAAGTTAAAATAAATTAATAAGGAAAATATAAATTTTAGAAAGAATTTTATTCCAAATGTGATGGAAAAAGGATTTTTATTTTCGTACCATACCATTTTTTTGTATTTTTTAGATTTTTACGTCAAAAATAAAAGCATAAAGTAACATACATTTTCAAAAATTATTACCACTAAATATTTCTTGAAAAATAAAGCTCTTCTTAAATAAATAATATTGGTATAAAAAATTGTTCTCTAAAATTCTGATTTGAAGCAGCACTTTTAGCATTTCTCCAAATAATAATAACCTAATTTTGCTGACAAATATTAATTTCGAGAAAACTTTTATCATTTCGTGATGAAATAAAATATTTGGGTAAAATTTTCATGCTAATTTCGTTGAAGCGAAGTGTGTGATATTTCGAGAAGTTGCGATCAATGACACAGAATGAGACGTATATAAACTTTGCTCGAAACTTGCTTTTATTGTATTCAATTAATATAAACGACGGTGGTATATTCGTTTTTGCCTATATAACAGAGCTCTCCTGACTTACGCTTAACAATTGCGGGTGTTGTTTTCTCTTTTCTCTTTTCTGGAAAATACTTGTATATGTACAATTATGTGTCTTAATTGTGCCGAATATTTAGTCATCGTAGATTGCGAATCGACTACTTAGGTACCATTAACGTTAACTCTGGCTAATATGAGAGACCGTAGAAATGCTTTTATATATATATATTATATATATATTATATATATACTACTCTCGGTACTGCTTTTCAGGCGTACAGAAGTCGCGAGATTCTAACGAAGGATCGCCGGACGTGTGTCTCTGTGTGTGTTACGTGTGTGAAATAGGTACAAAATCGATTCGGTACAAAATCGTCCCTACTTTTTTTAAATAATACAGCGCAACTACATGTCCACGGCGAAGACGAAACTTCGAGAACGAGCGGGCCGCTCCCTTTATAAATGGAGCTTCACTGTATTATCGGTGTAAATTTATCGCTGCGCGAGATATGATCTCGGCTGGACGAGATCACGGTGTAACGCCGCGAAAAATAGCCGGCGCTCATTATCGTTAATTTATGCCCTCGCAATTCTCTTACGACTTACGAGGGCGTGGAACACTTAAAGATGAGCGATCGATCAATTTCTCTTCGTTTCTTCTTCTCTCCCTCGTGGAAAGGGGGAGGGTGAGGGGGAAATTTACAAAATTCGAGAGAACAAGAGGTCAGACTTTGTACTTTCGTATTGCACTTTGTTGTAGTGTAATTTAATGACACGCTGGAGTTTTCTTAAGAGTAAATCCTAACGTAGTCGCAAGAGACCGTTTTACTCTAATGCTTGATACAGTTTTCTCACGCGAGAAAATAAATAAGAGTGTGAGTTAAGAAAATAAACTATTGCGTACAAAGGGTTTCATTATTCCCTCTCCCTGCGAGATCGCGCGCGACGGCGTTCTCGAGGTGTTTATGAATTAATTTCCTCTGCGCATCTTTTAAATTAATTGCCGATAACAATTTCAGATACAACTGCGTCTCTTACCCAAACGACACAAAAAATTCGTCTAGACGACATCTTACAGATTAGGGATATCTAAAAGGTGGACTAAAAATAACGTCTCAAAAATTTAAAATGTCTAAAGAGTGTCTAAACAACGTCTCAAAATTTTAGAACGTCTAAAGAATGTCTAAAAGGTGTCTAAACAACATCTAAAAAATTTTAGAACGCCTAAAACATGGCTAAACAATATCTCAAAAATTTATGACGTCTAAAGGGATGTCTAAATAACGCTTTAAAAAATCAAGACGTCTAAAAGATGTTTAATCAACGTCTCAGAGATACCAGATATTTAGAAGAGATGTCTGAGAGGTATCGGAAATGATTTTAGACGCTCGAGAAGATGCCCGGCGTCTCTCAGGTATTTATGAAGTCTGGGTACTTATGCGAATTAATGTAGACGCGGGAGATTACTTTTCTAGCGGTCGAGAGAGCAGAATGCATATCTCTGGAAATTTTCTGGAGTCGTTTTCACGTTATAAACTATCGCCGATTACAGATTATCTATTTTTCCGCTAGTGAAACTTCCGCTTAAGCTGCAAAGCGAAGCACGACATGTCGCGGAGTAAAGTTCCCTCCTTTACGTACACAATAACGTCTTGCATCGTCCGTTTATTTTGTTATCGCACAAAACGCTCGATGCAATGATACATATATATATATATATATATATGTGTGTGTGTGTATATGCCTTATCGTCTATTCAAATAGTTTATTTTCCTCTTCGGCATGTGTTCATACATACGCATGTGCGTACATCGTTCGTATCGGATGCTCTTACGTTTTTACGACTTTCTTGTTTTTGTAATAAGTTAAAAATAGAATGACAGAGTACGTGTGTACGCGCAGACACACAGGGTACATAATACGCGCGTTATACATTTGGCGATAATGGTATCGCTGATAAAACGCGCGTCATCGTCGCACATTGGGCGAAAATTCACGCGATTTTGACCGTCGAATGGTCTCGAGATAAAAAACTTCCCGATTGAAAAACGAGCGCGACACACGATTGCACGCACACGCATAGGTCGTCAGGTCGTATCAGCTAGCATTTACAATTTGTGTTTCGAAAGTCAGACTAAATATATAATAACAACAGAGATAATAGTCGTGAAACGCACGATAAAAATTACTTCCGACGTCTGCTCCCTTGAAAGAGAGAGAGAGAGAGAAAGAACCCGTTTAAACGAGCGTCAGCAGTGTGTTTCGATACAGTTCGTGACATATGTCATAATTATATTATAAGCGCGATGCATCTCGAGTGTCGTACACATGTACGCAATCCAATAATATTTTCCCTTTCTTTCTTTTTCAATGAAATCCAGGTATCGTATGTACTCTGTTTTTTTTTATTTGCAATATATTTTCATTTCGAAATTAAAATACATCTCCCATGCGAAATTGAAATACATCTTAAGTCATGGCAGTTACATGATTCGTCGAAATCCTGTTTTTACACACAGACTTCAAAATGTATTCGAAACCGAGCTGTATATTAATTATTAGGTATTACGAATTATCTTTTACGTTCTAGGTAACTCTACATTAAACTGAGTGTGTGTATGTATGTACGTGTATGAAAAACATAGACTATTACATTCTTTTATATCTTAGGTGGGATGCTTACATTACTGTAACATTACAATATAACGTGTCTTATGTATATTGACCGAATGTTACATAGGGCATATATATATATATATATACATATATGTATATATATATATATATGAATGTATTCTCTATTCTACATCGTCGATTACTTCATACATCGTCAGCTTTATATTAACAGATTGCTTTGAAAATCTAACATTCGCTCCGTTCAGATATACACCAGAATCAAGTACTCGCGGATGAGTTCTTCCGTTTTCTATCATAAACATATGGAAATATCAAATTTCTCACTGTGCTTTCCTTTTTCCACAACTTGATGTAAGAATTACTGGCACTGTTGTTATATAAAAAAAAAAAAAAAAAAAGGAAAGGAAAAAAAGGAATAAGACAAACGTATGTACGATGAGATCTTCGAAGCAGTCTCGACATATGTATACATGCGGTGTATTTTTGATACACGGTTATGTATTCAATAAATCATCATGTTTCGCTACACAATGGAATTATAATGCAAGTATACGATTTATATTGTTATAGCTATTGTATCGCTGACAGAAGGGATATGTATGCATAGACGTGCGTGTCTATTATACAATCCCGACAGTTTAGTTTTCCACATCCTGCGTCCTGGGTACACATAAACGCAAGAATATCTCGAAAGATTTTCGCGATCTCCACAGAGTCATTATAAAATCAAGATTATATTTCTCGAGGTAGGTGTACCGTGTGCGAACAAACAGCGCGGAGCGCGAGAGAATAAATTTGTGTAAAAGTTGTTCGACCGAACGCAAATCGAACGCCATCGGGCATTCTGTTTGCATTCGTGATGATAAGTAAACATCTTCCGAATCTGGAAAATTTACATCATCCGTTCGTTCGCTCGTGTATACCCATCTTTACAGATACTTTCGCATAATAGCATATTTAAATCGGGGATTACATTATATCCTGTCACTGGGAACTCCGTCACGTATCTCGGTGCAAAAATATTCAAGCGGCGAGATGAAAGCGTAGTATAATAAAGAGGGCAGGGGGAGGGAGAGTAAAGGAGAATATAAAAGGTAAATGTTTCTATCACTCATTATCGACTGTACGTGTAATAAATGACAACAGAGTCCGTAATAAAAGTTATCCTCTTGCATATATATGTTTGGTATATATGTATGTATTTTTTTCCGTATCTACATCCTCTTTTACACGTGCATATATCTTGCTTGTTTGTTCATGCTTCACTACACACACATATATATATATATATATATATATACATATATATATATGTGTATATATATATATATATATATATATATTTCGTATGAATATATTTAAAAAATCTATTTTCCTTTATTGTGGCGTGTAATAATATAATTTGATACACAGACATTCGTATATATGGAGTATTTTCATGCAGGAAAAATAATCTTTGTTTTTTTTCTTCTTTTTTTCGTATCATCTCAGTCCTAACAATCAACTTGAATCCGTATGGAAATAAAAATCCGCAATAAAAAAATGTAATAATATGCAACATAATTTAACACTCGGTCTCTGCTAAAACTCGAGAGATATTCAGAAATCGCCGTCAGTGCCGCGATTGCGTCTCTCTCTCTCTCTCTCTCTCTCTCTCTCTTTCTCTGCGTCTTACGATATTCTCTCTTTATATAATTTTCCAATGTTGACAAATATAAAGTGGAAACGCTATCTTAGCATGCCCACTATTTTCTGCATATCTCTCATTTTCTTTCACAGTAGGACCATTCAATATATTAAATACAATTAAAGTAAACTGTACCAACAATAATATACAAAATAAATATAAATATATATCTATATATTAAGAATATAAGTTCCTCAGCTGCGGATCTTAGTAAAAATATTATATATTAATAACAAAATATATATTGTAATCAACAGAAATTATATACAGTACGTGTCCACACATACAATAAACTTTCCATTGCGCTTTCAATCGCGATTTTCAAAAAGCACACAAATTAAAAGGAAAAATAGAAAGAAAAAAAAAAAATGTAGAGCGTTTTTTGGGGCGGAAAAGAGAAACAACCAGATCGTCGACGATCCATTTTATAAGTGACCTATTATGAAAATCACAAAATTCATCATTAATAAATTAAACAAACTTGATAATCACATAAAATGATTGGAAATGTAAGAACGATCGAATATGTTATTATCAACAATGATTCGAATTATGGTCCTACTGTATGAATCAAATAAATAACTTTTAGATACGCGAATTTGTTTCCTTCTCATTAGGCATGGACCGAGCTTTTTCATAAAATAAAAAAGCAGATCCCACTCATACGCATTAATCACAAGATTGTAACCGTGGCGATTCGGTTCGGAACGTGTATATAACGTCCTGGGTATTACAATGTAGTACGAGCTGCTGGAACACACCTAGGTTTATGCTTACAGCATACCTAGAATAACAATATAGCACCTAGGTTTTTTTGTACTTTAGTATTATTTCGTCATGATAGTGTAATTAATTATAAACATACATTTATGATGCCACAATATATTTACATCATGCGATCATGACTACCAAGATGTGAATGGAAAGCAATTTCAATTCATTCTCACTATAAACTTTCTTTCTTTCATTCATTCACTCATTCTTTTCTTCTCTCTCTTTATTTTCTCATCGTTCATATTCAGGGATCAAAATAATGACCGTAAAAATCTTTACACTTCGCATATATTTAATATACGCGAAACGTCTTATCGCAATATCGCACTAAATGTAATCGTTTTATTGGCGCGGTATAATCTCTTAAATTCTATACTCCCCCGTTTCATATATAATACAATATCTACATTCGATTTTCATTAAAAAATCGACCGATACAAGTATACTTGACGTGGCTGTCCAACTCGTGGCATCGGTTTGCCACATCTCCCAACGGGAGTATCACCCTATCAAATCCGCTAACATTATCCACGCGATCGCGAGACGAAATGTTAACGAAACGACACGTCTTTCTTCGCGAGACTGTAGAACTCGACAACTCAAAATTCATTCGGAAAAAAACGCCTATCTTCGTTATCCACGAAACGCTAGACTGCAAACAGGAAGTGGATGTATCACGCGTGATTATCGACAAACATGGAAGGCAAAGTATGTTCGCTGACAGTGATCGATTGGTCAGTGTGAATTTCGCGAAGCGCTTCTTTCCGCGATGACTCCTCCTCCAGTCCGATGTTTTGAGTTGGATAGCACGTGGCTTACTTACTTAGTTAAAAACTTCGAATTAACTGCGATAATATTTAAAGGCTCGTCGCGTATCACATAAACCTAGACAGATTTTTTTCATTTAGTTTAGAATTGTAATAT